GCTCTTCCAACGCTGGATGAAATCCAGAACGCTGTGACAGCATTCAGCGCTTCATGGGAGGGGGAAGAGGATGCGGATGGAGAGTGGATGTTCAAGGCCTCTGTCTATGTGAGAGGATTTGAGCTCTTTTTTGTGCTGGAAAATGTGCATTCTGTATGCGGAATTTACCGCCTTCTACAGGTTGTACCTTTCGAAGCCTGGTGTGAAAAAATAAATGAAGTGGAGGATCGTATTACTTCACTTTTTCGTACCAGCCGCTGTTGGAACGACATTCTGACAGTGCGAAAAAAGCAGGAGTTCTAAGACCTGCCTTAGGAGGAGGAGGTCGCATCATCATACCACGCCCCCCCACCCAGCACTAGTTATAAAGAGCTTACAGTTAGAAACCATTTCATCCAGACGATCTAAGTCATCAGCATGACGGGGTTCTACAATCAGACGACCCTTAAAGACCTATGGAGCCCGCCACCGAGCTGGGTACTAACGGATTCATCACCACCAAGATACAACACCAGTCCGAGGTCCAGATCGCTACCATCACCACCACCGCCGAGATACAAAGGCAGTCCGACTGGCTGCTCAGGAGCACGGTTTGCGGGTTCTGAGTCGCTGTCCGATTGTTCTGAAAGAATAAAAACAACGAAAAATATGAACGAGTCATCTTTGAAGTTAATAAACACTTTTTTTATCTCTTACCATTCCTCTGCACAGGAGAAGGGGGAGGAGGTGGTGGGGGCGGAGATATTGAGGCGGCGTAGGTTGTCGGCTGTTGTTCTGTAAGAATAAAAACAACGAAAAATATGAACGAGTCATCTTTGACTTATTAATCACTAATTTGTAATCACTTACCAGCTTCGAGGATCGCCTGTGGTGTGACGGTCTTGTCACGAACAGCTTTTGCGTTCGCGTGTGATCTGACAGTCTGGCTGGGCTGATTTGAATGTAAGCCAGCTCATTCCTGGCTGGTGGATGGAGGCGTGGTTGGGTAAAAGCTGTGACTTCCGGGGTAAGGCTGAACCCCCTCCTTTTCTGTGAAATGAAATATTTCTCAGTTGAAGAAAAAGAACGTTACGTATTAAAAAAACCACTCACTCAGATTGTAGACCGCACGGTTAATTTTAGACAAATCATCCGGCGGATTAGGGGAAAGTAGCGGTGTTTTACAGGTTAATTCCTCAATAGGAATTTCTTCCCACTCGCCGTCCGATATGACAATAGCGTCTGAAAATAAAATAAGATGATGTTAAACCAGAAAGAGAAAAAAAGATTTGCATCTTAAGTTAAAAACTCACCCGTCATCTTAGGACTCTGCTTACTCTCAAATCACGACTCCAAAAATGCCTTCTACATTTTATACCGTTGTTTAAAAAATCTTGAATAGAAAACGGGCGCGATTGGTCGAAAAAAATGTTTATAAACAATACAGAGTCATTTGCTTTGTTGTATAAGGAGACAAATGATTGAATGGGTGCTTAGAGTTGGTAACCTAAATTCTTTACTTGTCTTAGAGTCAGGCATTTTCTGAAAGGGGAAAGTGGTTTAAGTGTGTGTGTGTGTGTGTGTGTGTGTGTGTGTGTGTGTGTGTGTGTGTGTGTGTGTGTGTGTGTGTGTGTGTGTGTGTGTTTAGCTCGTATCCATTGCTTCTTCAAAACTCCCCAGAGCAGAAATAAAAAAACCTTTACGATCCAAAAAATAATACCGGACTGGTTTTGTACCGGACATTTCTTCCTGAAATCGCTTCTTCGCTCATGTTTCCTTAATAATGGATAAAATGTAGCAGCTCCTTCACTCGTGTGTGTAAATCCGTTTACAACATGCATGTGCCTTAGTTTAACTATTCTGAGAGGAAAGACATTAAAGGTTTGATAAAGAAGGTTTGACCAGAGGTACGTCTGCTCCGAGACTTTACTAATCGCCCTCTCCCAAAAAACAAACCTCATAAACAGCTTTTTATTTAATTCAGCTGATATAGGTCCTACAAAAAGGATCAAATCTTTTCTCTAAGGCATGAAGCAAGTGTGTGTGTGTGTGTGTGTGTGTGTGTGTGTGTGTGTGTGTGTGTGTGTGTGTGTGTGTGTGTGTGTGTGTGTGTGTGTGTGTGACAGTAAGGACAGGAGGCGAGGGGGTTTATGATCCTAAATAGCTCTTTGAAACAATAGTAAGTCATTTGCTTTTGTGAGATGTCTCTGTGCCAACTTGGTTCAGCCAGTTCTTTGTTTTCGACTTACCGCCACTATTTCAATCCAAGCCACCTGCAAAAAGGAAGTCATTTGCTTTGTGAGCTGTCTCCGTGCCAACTTGGTTAGAATGAGCTTTAAGAAAGCTCAGCCAGATCTTTGTTCACCAACTTCCTGGCACTCTTTCAAACAAGGCCACCTGCAGAACAATAAGTAAGTCAAATGCTTTGTGGTTGAGATGGGTGATTTTGTTGTAAAGTATAAGGAGAGGTGTGGCTGAATAGCTGAATAGAGTTGGTAACCCCAGAGAGAGTCAGGCATTTTCTGAAAGGGGGAAGTGGTTTAAATGTGTGTGTGTGTGTGTGTGTGTGTGTGTGTGTGTGTGTGTGTGTGTGTGTGTGTGTGTGTGTGTGTGTGTGTGTGTGTGTGTGTGTGTGTGTGTGTGTGTGTGTGTGTGTGTGTGTGTGTGTGTGTGTGTGTGTGTTTACAGCCTCTGATGATTCACCCTGATGTGCTGCTGGACAGAAAGTTTTACACAATAGTTTTAGTTCTGGTCAAAAAGTGTCAGAGAGCTGCATGTAAATAACACATTTAAACACAAAGTTTAAGACTGAACATACGAAATCCAAGTATCTTTTATCTGGGGAGAAAAGCACTTTGTGAACATCTGCCAGATGGTTCTGCTCCCTGGCTGGCCTTCTTTTTCTTGCTTCTCTGCATTTGCAGTACAATTTAGATGACAAAACTTTCTGTGTGTTGTATGTGTTTGTTCTCTTGTTTACGGTCTCTCTTCTGTTATTACTGTATGTTTGCTCGGTGATATAATGTTCTGATTACTGACATTTTGTGTATGGTGGGGTGTTCTGATGTCCATAATAGATATTGGTCTGTGTGTGTGTTGGTTTCATGTATGGTTCCAACCGCCATATTTGCTCCAAGATCTCTTTACCCCCGAAAGGAGGAACCTGCACTCTGCAGATGTAGAATGTAGATTTGCGGGGAGCACCAGTCCCTGCAGGCATCTGATGGATCGCGATGGATTTTTCACAAAGCATGGTTTTTGACAGCGGCGTATCCACGCTCTCTTCTTTCACCTTTTGAGTTGAAGTTGAAGCGTCGGATGTAGTAGACACTTCTTCCTCGTGGCTTGGTGCTTCATTCATCTCCCCGTGGTTCATCATTTTTTTCATAGAGGTCGGGTTTTCACCATTCGGACACGATCTGAGCTTTTAAAGAGGCATGCAAGGGGCTAACACTATAGGATTACACTCAGAAGGGAGGGGGCTGTGGGAACCGCTGGGCTACACAAAAAGAAACTTCACGCGCCATTACACTCATTAAGCTATGACGTAGGGGATCATGGACATCTGGACGTTCAACAATACGCCATTGTTGCTGCGGCGTGGGGGGTCTAGGCCATCTGGACGTTAAACAATACACATGTCCAATTGATTGATGATAGGGAAAGGGGGCAAGGTCAAAGGTCAAAATGAACAATAGGCATGAAAGGTCAAAAGGTCAAGAACAACCTGTCAAAATGTTTGACGAAAGATGGGTTATAATCAAGCCCCCACAATGCCGCTCAGAAAATGGTCCCAACCCGGAAGTAAGAAAAATTGCAGTTCCACCCTCATCCGCTGGGGGCTGGTACCAGAAGCGAGCAAATCCTCATTGACTCCCATGTTAAACTAGCTGAGTTTACCGAAGTAGCTAGCTAACTATCAGTTTAACATGTAGCATGTACTGTTTAACCATGAAATTTAAATGTAAAATACGGTAAAATAATTAATAGGGCATATTTAAATGGGTAATAGGGTAAAACCCAGTGCATTTAAGATAAAAATGGGTTGAAATATGACGGGGCGCGCCGCTTGGGGGGACACTTCTGTGCTCTATTCTTTCATCCGGTAATCCCCAGCGGTCAGGCCGGGCAGGCTGATCGATGCGGCGCCTCGCTGCTGCGGGCTGACCGCTCGTGGAACTCGGAGACAGATCTGACCGGAGAAATACTGCAGCTCGTTGAGAAGTCTATAGGGCATACAGCGTTTCCCTTAAATCCCACTGCCACGCCGACAAGATCCCAAGTTTCTTTGTTTTTGTTGGCGCTGTTTACCGAAGAAGCAGCGGGAACACCAGCAAGTTTCATCAGACTCGTAAAGTTAGTTTTTGCAGGGGACCCCCTGTATTTTACTGCTCCCTCCTGCAGTCTTCCCCTATTAAAATTTAAAATGTGAAACTTCATGTATTGTGATGAATGACTAATATTCATGTTAACTAAAACGTTAGGTATTTAGGGGGGAAAAACAAAATAATAAACATTATACAGATGTCAAATAAATCAAACTGTAATTAAACTATATATTTTCAAAGTCTTGATTCTGGATAAAATCCAACAACATATGCTTTATAAATAAACATTACGCATGGCTTTTACACACACACACACACGTTACATTGTGATTTCTTAGTAAATATTCTATTTGGCGAGAGATAAACTTTATTGTATTTATCCTAGTGAATCTATAATTAAACGGGTAAACTAGCAGTAGTACATCCAACATCAAAGAAAGTAAAATGTTATTATCAGGAGAGGGAGAATGATTAAGTGGTTAGCAGCAGTGTGCTAGACGATGGCCCCCTCCATGAGGCCACCACAGCTCAGCAGAACGTCATTGTAGCTTCTTCTGGGGAGAAAAACACTTACAGAAAAAATAAAGTTAACAGCTGAAATAGCAGGAAATAATACAGTTAAAGAGCAGATTGTAGAAGAAAGAAACGCCTAGGTTAAACTGGTCTGTCTACTGCATAATGATGAACTCTAACATGTGTCCTCAGGGAAGGACCTGATTGGTGTCCAGAACCTGCTGAAGAAGCACGAGGCTCTGCAGGCTGAGATCACAGGTCATGAACCTCGCATCAAGGCTGTCACCCAGAAAGGAGAGACCATAATGGAGGAAGGTAGAGCAGGTCTGGTCCTGACATGTTTCTGAGGTGTCTGCAGGTTCTGGCTCACTTTGTTTGGGTCCAGGTCACTTCGCTGGTTCAGAACCCTCGGCCCGTCAGAACATTCTTATCCACCACGTTCTAACACCAGACCTGTTAACCCAACAGCAACAAGTGGCTCCAACTGACGATGAGACCGGGAAGGAGCTGGTTCTGGCTCTGTACGACTACCAGGAGAAGAGTCCTGGAGAGGTCACCATGAAGAAGGGCGACATCCTCACGCTGCTCAACAGCACCAACAAGGTTCGTGTGCCCTTCACAGCCGAGGAACGACCTCCAGCTCAGAGCGAACATCTCCACACCTGCTTTGTGTTTGTGTGACTTTAGGTTGTTTTACTTGAACTCGCGTCTTTAGCTGAATGAGGATGGAGAGACGGGTCGAACCTGGAGCAGGTCGAGGTCTTGCAGAAGAAGTTTGACGACTTCCAGAAGGTCGGACTTTTCCTCCTCTCCGTCTTCCAGCAGCAGCTGTCAGATCAGCTCAGGTGATAATCAGCAGGTGCTTTTGTCCTGCAGGACCTGAAGGCCAACGAGTCCCGCCTGAGGGACATCAACAAGGTGGCATCTGAACTGGAGTCAGAAGGTCTGATGGCTGAGGAGGCTCCTATGGTTCAGGCTCAGGTGAGCGTCACCTGTCTGCAGCAGCTGGTCCCTCTCACTTCCTGGTTTGTTAACTCTGCTCGTCTCTGTTTGTAGCAACAAGAACATCTGGGTTCTGCTCCTGGAAAGGTGCGTGTTGTCCTCCGCCTCCACCAGAACCAGACGTGGTGTTTTTGTTACCACTCATTTGTTTGTTTACAGGATGAAGCCGACTCTAACCCCGGCTTTCCACAGGAGTCGTCAGCAGCACGTTACTGCAGCAGCACGTCATAGCTGCTGATAGGAACCGCTGTGGTCAACAGAACCTTTTCCACCGGAGCCGTCAGCAGCGCGAGTCGGCCGCGTCTCAGGAGCAGCATGTCGCGGCCCTTACGCGCCGGTTCTATTTTCTACGCGCGACGCCTCTGAAACGGGTCAAGTTCGACATTTTTGGGGAAGGAAAGACAGGAAATCGGACGCGGAAATTGAGAGAAGCTACCGAGATTTTCAGAATAAAGAACGTACTGCCTTCCGGTTGCTTTACTTTTAAAAAAGGTTACTAACTGAGCGGCCCCGTGAGAAGTTATCACCTAGCTAGCGGTCTCCTTTGTTTTTCAGGTCCGTATTGGCGATTATAAAACGGACAGAACATAAAACACAAACCATGTTGTAGTTTTCTCCTGCTTGTTGTTGTGTTTACTGACGAAGTCACTCGAGTGACTTCGTGCTCGGTCGGTGACAGCTGCTCCCCTGCTGCTTCGCGTCTCGTGGGAAGGGCCAAGCAGCAGCTTACGCGAGCAAGACGTGCTGCTGCAGTAACGTGCTGCTGACGGCTCCCGTGGAAACCCGGGGTAACACGGCGTCACCCTAGAAGGTGAGTTCATTCAGCTGATCAGAGGTCACCTCTGATGGCCGCAGTCACGGCCGACCGTGCTGAAATCACACAGGAATTCAGGTGACCCGGCAGGCACCAGGTGCTGGTGAAAGTGGGGACATGTCAGCTGGTTGCCATGGCTACAGTTATCTTTATGCATCTGTATGACTGCTGACTGGTGTGTGTTTCCTGTGACCTTTGACCTCAGACCGTACGGTTGGGCGTTCAGACGACGGCTAACTTTAATTCCATCAAGGTAAGAGGAAGCTCTTCCCTTCCTGTCTGAGCGATCCGTCTCCAGGTTTCCTCGTCCGGCGTCCAGCCCGCTGGCGTCCACCTTCATCTCACTGGGTTTGGTTTCTCTCCAGGAGCTGAACAACCGCTGGCGCTCGCTGCAACATGCTGGGCAGCGCCCATGAGGTGTAGCGCTTCCACAGGTACCCCGAACACTTATGCGCCGCTTACGGGTCAGTAGAGTTTAGACCCACACTCAGACGGAGTTCTGATGTCTTCTCAGAGACGCTGATGAGACCAAAGAGTGGATCGAGGAGAAGAACCAGGCCCTGAACACAGACAACTACAGCCACCACCTGGCCAGCGTTCAGGCTCTGCAGCGTGAACATGAAGGCTTTGAGCGTGACCTGGCAGCTCTGGGTGATAAGGTCCGCTTTCCTGATCGGTACCAGGACCCGAGTTGTCTCTGGAGACACGTTCTTCGTGGTTCTGGTGACTCCACCCCAGCCGTTCCTGATCAGCGATCAGCGGGGTGCTTTCCTATTTAAGGTGGATGGAGGACACAATTTGACGCCAGAAGATTGCCTCAGTTTTGGTAGTAACCAGCCACTCGTGTTACCTCTAGTGTTCCTAGGATTAATGTTATTTCGTAGTGTTTTTGCTCTTAAATTGGATTTACCATTCTTCAGGATTCCTGTCGACCTCATTGGATACTGACCTCTACTCCAGGATTTGGATATTCAACACACGGACCTTATCACCACCCTCCATAACCCACCTCTCATCTCACCCGTTGCCCCATCCACCAGGACGCCCCGCTTCTCTCCACCTCTGCTCCCTCTCCTGCGCTTCCCCCGGCTCTCTACCTCTCTCTCCTCCAGCCAACACATACACCCACCACAGTAAGTCTGCTGAACACCTCTGCCTGCCTACAATGGATTTTGAAACCAGAACCTAAGCTCACCTGTGTTCCCCCTCCTCCAGATGCTGAGCTGTTGTTGCAGTTCCAACCACAGACTTATCTGTGCACCTTAAGTTCCTCCTTATAAATAAATCATTTTTTCCATCAGTTTTTGGTCAGTGTTGTATTCTGCATGTCTTGGGTTAAGTACCTTCCTCCAAACATGACACTCCTCCTCAAAGAGCAAATCTGTTCAGCACATTCTGACAGACAGACCACCATTCTTCTGTCATGATGCTGTACAGGACATTTTTAGAGTTTTTCTTTTTAAAGATAAATAGGATTACATTTAAATAGCAATACTTTCACATTATCATTTTCCCACACTTCTGTATAACTGTATTTTGTTGTTTTTCAATAAAGAATGACAAACTATTTAAGTTTGGATTTGTTGCACACAAATATATATCTGTAAAAAATATCTACAAAGCTAATGTATACATAACAAGTATGATTGGGTTTTGCAATACGGCACTATTTTAGTAAGAGTTTTAAACCAAGTAAAGTTAGTAAAGAACACATTTCTATTGTCTGCTAAGAAACTGTTGGACTTAAAACGGGCCTGTTGTACAAATAACTTGTAAATGATTATTCCTCACTTTTGTCTTAACCAAAGAAATTCCAGTAATTGAGCAAAAACATTTATTTTTAACACTACATTTTATAAAACAGGGCGCAAAGTGTCGGCACATGTATGTATGTCGATGGTCCACCCCAACCGAACCAGGAGACACAGACGTCAGGGAGGCCAAGGTTGTCTCTGCAGCTCTCTGGGCACCACGCCTCACTCAGCTGTCTCCAATGATCCAAATGGCTATGGAGAAAAAATAACAGGTTTGTCATAATTGTTTAAAGTACAAAACCATACATGAAGTGGTGAGACAGGTATGTGGAACTTACACTTGCTGCTTTGTGTAGCTGATGTTGGAGACACACAGGCTGCCATGGTGACATTTAAACAGATCTAACAAAAAAATAAAAATGAAAATTAAAAACTCCCAGACCTCATGTCATATTTACTAATCAGCTATGGCTGATTTATTGTTTGGATCACAGTGAGTTACACTAATTCTAATATATTTTTATTTCTATTATACATACATACTTTTTAACTGTTATTTTCACGACTGTTATCAGGCTCTCTTGTTCTGGTTCTGATGATAATTCCGTGTCTTCCAGTAAGTTATCTTGTGCTTACTTCATCTGTAGAATGTCTCTTTACTTTTGGTAAATTGTACTGAGTCCAGAATAAAGACTAGTTGGCTGTACAAGATACAAACAAGTATAACATTTTGGAAATATATGAAATGTATTTACGCTGCTAATTTAGCTCGAATACTAATAACTGCAATATTTTCCGGACTATAACTCGCAATTTTTTACATTTTCTGGCAGGTCCTGCTACTTATACTCCGGAGCGACTTATATAACAAAATATGTAGGCTACACCACGCTGCTGCGGGCCGACTCCGACCCACACAAGAATGAGTTCCCCTGTCCCGCTGGGAGGGTTTCAAACACCGCCAGCATCTGTTAGCGCCTGTGGCGGGGTGCTGAGGGCCGGCTCCAGCCCAGGAATGAGCTGTCCTCGCCGGCCGGGAGGGTTTGAAACACCGCCATCCTCTCCTCTGCTGGCTGTTGTTCATTCTGTTATGGTTACCGGTGCTTGTGTTGCAATGTGAAACGCTTGGTCTCAGATTTTGTAAGAAAGATAATAAAATGTCCCCCCAAAATACGACTTAAATATATTTTCTCTTATTCATGATACATTTAATGGCTGGTGCGACTCAGGAGTGATAGCGCCGAAAAAAACTGTACTGAAAACTTGCTCAAAGCAAAATGTTTTCATTACGGAAATAAATTATAAACTTACCGATTTAAAACTTTTTTAATACAGGTACTTCTCACGAACAGGCGCAGAAAACCTCCACCTAAACTCCGTGTAAGGTTCAGGTCGATGGGTGTTCCAGTTAGCTCCGGTTGGGTTGAAGCTAGGTGGCTACATCCGTTAGCTCGGCTCCCACCTCCGCTTTAGCTTTGGGTTAGCCAGGGTTAGCTTCAGGTTAGCTCGTAGCTAGTTCGCCTGGGTGTCGTCACTCGAGCCCAGCCTTACAGCCACACCCTCAGCGCCTCCTCTCTTCCCTTTTATGGAATTGTCTGGGCTGGACGGAACCTGTGACACGGTCAAAATGGTGGTGGTGGCCACCTCCCATTATAGACAACAAACGTGTTATTGAAGCCAATGGAATCCGTTTGTCCAGTATATGTACAGTCTATGGTTATAATACTACTGATTGAAATCAGGTGTGTTGAAGCAGGGTTAAAACTAAAACGTGCTGGATACTGGCCTTCAAGGCCCAGAATTGAATAGCCCTGGTCTAGGGACTTTGAGTTGGACTCTCCAATCTGGGGCTGAGGTCACTGAGGTGTTCAAAAAGCTTGCCAGTAGCAAGGCCCCAGGGGTGGATGAGATCCGCCCAAAATGAGGTTTATAATTTTAATGGGACCTTCCTGGTTAAATAAATAATAAATAAAAAGGGGGACCACAGAGTGTGTTCCAAGTCACTACAGACCACCCGCTTCTTAAAAAACCGAGTCTTGACCCCTCTCTCCATAGCAGCTTCAGACCCATCTCCAAACTTCCGTTCATCTCCAAGACCTTGGAAAAGGTTGTGGCTAAACAACTCACAGCTGCTCTTGATGAACATAACATCTATGATAGCTTCCAGTCAGGTTTTCGTAGAGCTCATTCTACTGAAACAGCTCTTCTTAGGGTCTCTAATGACTTTCTGACACACAGTGATGCAGGGGACTGTTCTGTTCTGGTCCTGCTGGACCTGACTGCAGCCGTCGACACTGTTGACCATCACCTGCTACTGGAGAGGCTGAGAGACTGGGTAGGCCTATCAGGATCTGCTCTGGAGTGGTTCTCCTCTTATCTCTCTGAGCGCTCCTTTTTTGTGGCCATCTCCAAGTTTAGGTCCTCCACCACCTCTCTTACCCATGGTGTCCCAAAAGGTTCTGTGCTGGGGCCTCTGCTCTTCCTCCTCTATCTGCTTCCTCTTCAGCACATCCTGAGTTCCTTCAAAGGAATCTCCTACCATCTTTATGCAGATGACATCCAACTGTACATCTCCTTTAAGCCCATGAGATGTCTAAGCTGCAGCTGTTACACACCTGCTTAGACTCTATCAAAACCTGGATGGCTGGGTCAGAGACTCTCTTGGTCAGCTTGCTTCTCACACCAAACCTTCTGTCAGGAATCTTGGCGTGACCTTTGACCCAGCTCTCACCCTGGATTCTCTTGTCAGTTCTCTTGTTCGCTCTTCCTTCTTCAGAAGGAATGCCTGTGCTCGGCTTCTGACCAAGTCCTCCAAACACACCCACATCACCCCGCTTCTCCTCCAGCTTCACTGGCTGCCAGTCAACTTCAGGGTTCATTTCAAGATCCTGGTTCTGGTCTATAGGGCCTTACATGGACAAGCACCATCTTACATTGGTGATCTTCTTAAGCCTGATTTATGCTTCTCCGTCTGCGTCAGTGCGGAGACACGCAACGCCATTATCCGTCCTTGCGTAGGGCACGCAAGTACGTACGGAGTCGAGCCCACTTTTTTAAACATCCGTCAAACGAGACGGATGACGCAAGCTTGTGATTGGTCAGGACGCCGCTGTTGTTTACAGCGCCGCCATTGCAAAGAGAGCCGAGGATAACTAGCGGCAGACACGGAGCAGCTTGAAGAATACCTCGCGAAAAAACTCTAAAAATATGAACGTTTCATCCTCCCGTGACTGGAGGAGTGAAAAGATGCGCAGCAAGCATTTTATTTGTGGATGGAAATGACAGGAAACGTGGGTTTAGAGGTGGGGAGCGCATGAAGAGGTGGGAGAATGAGAGACAAATATGTCCGTGTTAAAAGTCTCTTATAAACACAAAAAACACAATATAAACACACGATCTTGGACCGATACGTGACAGGATACCACAGAACAGCGCTACGCCCTCTGTTGTCCTGCCGGGCAATTGCTTTGCAACACTCTCCAGGAGACGGAGAAGTAAAAGAGCAAAACGCTTCCGTCAATCCGTGCGTGTCTGTCCCTTGCGGAGCTGACGGAGAAGCATAAACCAGGCGTGAGTCCCTACACCCCCAGCAGGTCCCTGAGGTCCAGTGACCAAAGCCTACTGGTTGTGCAGCACCAGGCTAAAGGTCAAAGGTGACAGATCATTTGCTGCTGTGGCCCCCAGACTCTGGACCTCTCTCCCCCTGAGCCTGAGATCAGTGGACTCAGTGGTCTCCTTTAAAAAGCAGCTGAAGACTCACTTGTTCAAGCTGGCTTTTGTATGACCTTCTTCACCACTCTCTCTTTATTCTGCTCTCCCACCTATTCCACCTTCCTCAGGATCCACTGATTTCCCTCTTTCCTGTTCACTTTCTCTCTAACATTTTTTAAATCACAACTGTCTATTTTTGCTTATCTTAAATATATTTTTAAACATTTTCTAAATGCTTTTTTATATTTTTACATTTCTTGTTTTTGTGAAGAGCCTCGTGATTTTTATCTTGAGAGGCGCTATAGAAATGATACTTTCTTCTTCTACAGAAGGATCACACTTCTGGGCCTCTCTAGTAAGGTTCATTTAGGGGTTCTGGAGAGGAGGGTCCATCGGATTGTTGAACCTTGGATTCAGGAGTGTGGTTTTTGTACTGGACGTGGAAAACTGGATCAGCTCTATTCCCTTAGGAGGATTCTGGAGGGTGAGTGGGAGTTTGCCCAACCAAATTACATGTGTTTTGTGGATTTAGAGAAAGCGTTCGACCACGTCCCCCACTGTTGTGGGTACTCCGGGGTATCGGGCCCTTTGATACGGGCCGTTAGGTCCCTGTATGACTGGTGTCATTAGGTCCGCATTACCAGCAGTAAATGGAGCTTGTTTCCAGTGAGAGATGGACTTTGCCAAGGCTGCCCTTTGTCACAGATTCTGTTACTAGACCATGGTCTAGAATCGGAAAAGGGTAGAATGCCTTCTCCAGGTCAGTGACGAGGTCCTGCCTCAAGTGGAGGAGTTCATGTATCTCAGGGTCTTGTTCACGAGGAAAAAAAAAAATGGAGCATGAGATCGATAACAGACTGGTGCTGCGTCTCCGGTGACGCGGGCATTGTACCAGTATGTTGTTGGGACAAGAGAGCTGAGCCAGAAGACAAAGCTCTCGATTTACTGGTTGATCTACTTCCTACCCTTACCTATGGTCCCGAGCTTTGGGTAGTGACCGAAACGAGATTGTGGATACAAGAGGCCAAAATGAGTTGTCTCTGCAAGGACTATGCCTCTCGGCTGGCCAGGTTAACACCTTGGGATCCCCCTGGAGGAGCTGGCCCAAGTAGCTGGGGAGAGGGAAGTATGGGCGTCTTGGCTTAGGCTGCTGACCCCGCGACCCGACGCAGGATAAGCGGCTGAAAATAGATGCTACAGTATGACAAACTTAGGATGATAAACTTTTGTTATTGATCAAACATTTATTTTCCACCATAATTTGCAAATAAATAATTTAAAAATCAGTTAATGACATTTTCTTTTTCTAATTTTGTCTCTAATAGTTGAAGTATATCTATGATGCAAATTACAGTCCTCTCATGATTTTACTTTGGAGAACTTGCACAATTGGAGGTTGACTAAATACTTTTTTGCCCCACTGAATGTAATAGTATGACTTAATAAATTTAAATGTTTTAACATAATTCTTGAATACGTCATAGACAAACATTATAGCATGATTTTATTAGTCACACTATAGCACGTGCCATTAAAAGGTCCAAATTCAAAAATACTTAGGGAAATTAAACAACTTATTTCAAGCAGTAACTATTGATAATCTAATAGTTGTCAAAGTGATTATTGGTGGATGTGGGTAGCAAGGTTCTAAAGTAGTCACACCTATAGCAGATTTCATGAAAATGTATGGTAAAAGAAAATGTATAGAAACATAGTACAAAACTAATACTAGCTTCCCAATATATAAAAATACACTATAGTATATTTTTACCACTTAATGACACATGCTACCCCATATAACTTCCATTCGAAAATATTTACTTTAGTAATTGCACTGCAGACTTTAGAATTATCAATGTCAGTCTCTAAGCACAGTGCTGCAATTTATGCAAAACAGACAATATTTTGTACTAAGAGCCCTACATCAGTTACTTACAAGTTACAGATTACAGCAATGCAATTTTCTTCGCCCATTAATTACCACTCAGAATTTTGCTTTGAGGAAGTTGTCACAAATCGTTGCAGATTAGTGTTAAATCCATTTATAGTCAGTCTTAGGACTTGTAGGTAACCACTCATAAAATCACCCAACAAGGTTTTCTTCTGTTGCTCATACTGAATGGAAAATTCTGTCACATAAAAAAGAAACTCAAAGTTGAGGTACTTTATTTTATTTTCAAATTGAACCGTGTTTGCATTATAGATGGATTCATGTAATGCAACCAAAAACCCAAGCATGAAGAAGGCGGGGGGCATCAAACTATTTGGATTGTTGCTAAAATGGTTTGCAGACAGAAAAACAGACTAAAGTTTGCAGCCAGAGTCACAGGTTTGCTTTCTGTCCTGCCTTTTAGTTTTCATCATGAACACTGGTCCAAAACCAAAACACTGCAAAAGGCAAAGTAGTTAAAATCTGCATCAGTGATCAAAACACTTCATTTTTCTTCGTTTGGTGGGACTTTGGGCTGTGGACAGGGAAAGCAGCCATTCCCTTTGTCTGCTTTTGGATGCATTTGGGGAAGCAGCAGTTCAACAGCAGTTGTTACTGCAAACAAGAGAAAAAAAAAAAAAAAAAAAAAAAAAAAAAAAAAAAAAAAAAGCAAAATTTTAAACGCATATTCAATGAAATCAAATACATTTAAATCTACTGGATACTTACGCATTTCTCAACCAACAGCCCATCTTTGAAGAAAAGCATGAATGGTGTGATGCCATCCTCACGGTAGTCCAGCAGGCCCACCATGCCCTCGGGGTTCATAGACTCCCCTGTGAAAAACTGGGGAGAAAAAGCACATCAGATTAGTTTCACACTTAAAAGCTTTATTCCATCTTGAAGAAATGTTTTCTGCTGCTGCCGAGTATCAGTGACCACATCCCTGGCGGTAAGGCGTTTCCCGTTTTCAGTGTTGCTCTATGTGTAGCTGTTTGGTGTTTGGGGCTCGCTAAAACTGATTTAATTTCTCTGCACTAGGATATCTGAGTTATTGTAGCACATAAGCACACTGAAACACACATTTTCTGTTGTTCCACCTAGCTTTTAGGGAACCATTTGAGTTTGCACGTAGTTTATTTGGTGTTGAACAGTTTGCTCCTCCAGTTAGCTTAGCCTCAGCACGGCTATGGCTACTTCTGTCTCTGCTTCTCCGTCTCCTATCTCTTGCTCTCTGTGTGAGATGTTTAGTTACTCCTCTGCCTCCTTTAGCGATAATGGTACGTGCAATAAATGTAGCACTTTTGTAGCTTTGGAGGCGAGGGTGTCAGAATTGGGAGGCCCGGCTCAGCGCTGTTGAAAAACCCGTAAACAGCTGTAGCTACTTAGCTAGCGCGGGGCTAACTAGCTTAGAAACACCCTGTAGCGGTCCTCCAGCAGAACCCGAGCAGCCGGGACCTCAGGCCGGCTGGGTGACGGTACGCAGGAAGCATAGAACCCAGCCTGTGGGCCACCACCAACCCGTCCACGTTTCTAATAGATTTTCCCCGCTCAGTGACGCACCCACTGACAAGCCGACTCTGATCATTGGCAGCTCCATAGTCAGAAACGTGGCATTAGAGGCTCCAGCAACCATAGTTAAATGTTTACCTGGGGCCAGAGCGGGCGACATTAAATCTTATCTGAAACTGCTGGCTAAGGATAAGCGTAAATACAGTAAGATTGTTATTCACGCTGGCGGTAACGACACCCGGTTACGCCAATTGGAGGTCACTAAAATTAATGTTGCTTCGGTGTGTAAGTTTGCCAAAACAATGTCGGACTCCGTAATTTTCTCTGGCCCCCTGCCCGATCGGACCAGTGACGACATGTTTAGCCGCATGCTGTCCTTCAACCGCTGGCTGTCTAGGTGGTGTCCTTAAAACAACGTGGGCTACATTGATAATTGGAAAACTTTTGGGGGAAAACCTGGTCTGATGAGAAGAGACGGCATCCATCCCTCTTTGGATGGAGCAGCTCTTCTTTCTAGGAACATGGCCAGTTTTATTAGTCCTCCATGACAACCCAGGGTCCAGACCAGGAAGCAGAGTCGTAGTTTAACCCACCCCTCTGCAGCTTCTGTACTGTTACCCACCCACTACCCCATAGAGACAGTGTCCTGCCCACGGCCAAAATCACACAGATTAAATATCAGGCTTAATAAAGCAAATCATGGAAATCTCATAAATATTAGAACAAATTCAACTGAGCAGAAAACTAGAATAATTAAATGTGGGTTGTTGAACATTAGATCCATTTTTTCTAAGACTTTGTTAGTTAATGACTTGATTTGTGATAATCAGATCTCTTTGCTCTCTCTCACAGAATCCTGGCTGCAGCAAGAGGACTATGTTAGCATAAACGAGTTGACTCCTTCAAATTATTTAAATCATCATATTGCTTGAAGTACAGGGCGAGGAGGAGGAGTAGCAACCATTGTTCATTCGGACTTATTAATCAGTCCCTTACAGATTAATAGCTACAGTTCGTTTGAACATCTTATTCTTAGTTTTCCTAATCCAGATTGCAAAACTGTAAAACCACTCTTGTTTGTAGTTTTATATCCTCCACCAGGCCCTTACTCTGAGTTTTTGGATCAGATCTCTGATTTTTTATCTGATTTGGTGCTAAATACTGATAAGGTCATTGTAGTGGGGGATTTTAATATTCACGTGGACATTGAAAATGATTGCCTCAATGTAGCCTTTAGTAATATCTTAGACTCAATTGGTTTTACTCAAAGAATACATAGCTCCACCCACTCCTGCCATCATACATTGGACCTTGTGCTTACTTATGGCATAGAGTGTGAGGAAATAACGATCTTTCCACATAATCCAGTCCTCTCGGACCACTTTCTGATAACCTTCGAGTTTTTTATAACTGAGTTCTCGAGACATGAAAGTAAATTTCACTATAGTCGGTCTCTATCTGACAACTCAGTTGCGTCTTTTAAACCAACTGTTCCATCTTTACTGTCCTCAGCATCTAAGAGGAACGTAGCAGAGGGCAATATTTTCAGTTCTAGCCCCTCACAAATTGATGCCTTAGTTCCTCATGATAATTCCTCTTTACGTGTGGCATTAGATGATGTTGCCCCTTTAAAAAAGGTAATTAGGGACAGGAAGTTGGCTCCCTGGTTTAATTCTCATTTACGAGCCTTAAAACAAAACTCTAGGAAGTTGGAGATAACATGGCGCTCTACACACCATGAGGAGGCCTACCTATTCTGGAAAAATAGTCTTGTGCTTTATAAAAAATAAGCTTTGACAAACTAGAACTGCTTATTTTTCAGCATTAGTTGAGGAGAATGAGCATAATCCTAAATTTATTTTCAGTACAGTTGCTAAACTTACACAGAATCATAGTTCTGAGCCATCTATTCCCTTAGCCCTCAGCAGCAATGACTTTCATGGGATTTTTTTTACAAGTAAAATTAATTCCATTAGAAACAAAATCATTAGCATCCTCCCTAATGCGATTTCTTCTTCCTCAGTAAGTGAGGCAGCATCAGAGGTAACTGTAGAACCTCATCTGTGCTTGAACCGTTTTGATCCAGTTGAGCTTTCAGATTTATCAAAAATATTAGCTCCATCTAAACCTTCAACTTGCATTTTGGATCCAATCCCAACCAAATTATTTAAAGAAGCATTTCCTTTGGTTACTGCCCCCATTCTAGATATAATCAATCTATCCTTAGTAAATGGATATGTACCACAAGATTTTAAGGTTGCTGTAATCAAACCTTCACTTAAGAAGCTTTCTCTGGATCCAGATGACCCATTGAATTTTAGACCAATATCTAACCTTCCATTTTTATCCAAAGTCCTGGAGAAAATAGTGGCCATCCAAGTATGTCAGCATTTAAACACTAATGCTCTGTTTGAGGAATTTCAGTCTGGTTTTAGAGAGTATCACAGCACTGAAACTGCATTAGTGAGAGTTACAAATGATATTCTCATAGCCTCGGATAAGAATCTTGTGTCTGTTCTAGTCTTGTTAGATCAGTGCTGCCTTTGACACAGTTGATCACAATGTTCTTTTAGAAAGACGTGAACATGTTGTAGGGGTCTAAGGAACAGCGCTAGGCTGGTTTAAATCCTACCTGTCTGACAGATTTCATTTTGTAAATGTACATGACAAATCTTCATACTCCAAGGTTACTTGTGGAGTACCACAGGGTTCAGTGCTTGGACTAATTCTTTTTACTATGCATTTGCTCCCAATTGGTAAAATCATTAGACAGCATGGGATAAACTTCCACTGTTATGCTGACGATACTCAGCTATATTTATCCATTAACCCTGATGAACCTAATAGGTTGGGTAGATTACAGGCTTGTCTTGAGGACATCAAAAATTGGATGACTCTAAACTTTTTGCTTTTAAATCAAGACAAGACGGAAGTTCTCATCTTTGGACCAGAAATCCAGAAAAGGAAATTGCTTAGTCAGTCACCTGACCTGAATGGAATTACATTAATCTCCGAGAACAAAGTAAGGAACCTTGGTGTTATCTTTGACCAGGACATGGCATTCAAATCCCAGGTTAATCAGGTTTGTAGGATTTCCTTTTTCCACCATCGGAATATTGCTAAGAAGCATCCTTTCCAGGAGTGATGCTGAAAAACTAGTTCATGCATTTATTACATCAAGACTGGATTACTGTAATTCATTACTCTCAGGAAGTCCACAGAATGTAGTTAAAAGTCTTCAGCTTGTCCAAAATACTAAAGCTAGAGTTCTGATGAGAATTAAAAAGAGAGATCATATCTCTCCTGTCCTAGCTTCCCTACATTGGCTACCTGTTAAATTCAGAATAGATTTTAAGATCCTTCTTCTCACATATAAAGCTCTTAATAATCAAGCTCCATCGTACATCAGTGATCTGATTGTTCCATACGTTCCTAACCGAGCGCTTCGCTCTCAGACTGCAGGTTTACTGGTGGTTCCCAGAATATCTAAAATTAGGATGGTAAGCAGATCTTTTAGTTATCAGGCTCCTCTCCTGTGAAACCAACTCCAAGTCTTAGTCCGTGAGGCAGACACCTTGTCTACTTTTAAGAATAGGCTTAAAACATTTTTATTTGACAGGGCTTATGGTTAAAATCTGATGTTAGCCTAAATCTGGACAAGTGGGGGAGTAGAGGGAGGTGGAGTGTACAGTCAGTAAAGATGGCTCTCCCTTACCCTGCCTCCAACATGCCTCCATCTAAAAAGGCTAGGTTATCCAGAGTTATCTCTGTAGTTATGCTGCTACAGGCTTAGGCCTAGTCCATACGTAGCTGTTTTTTTTTAAACGAATATCCGCCCCTCCAAAAACTTGCATCCACACGTCGTTTAAAAAAAACAGTCCACACGTACCCGGATAAATACGTTGTTAAGGACATGACAGACCTGTAGGCGGCAGTACTTCCCCCATTCTTAACCTCGTCATTCGTCTGTGGTCTTCGGCAAGGAGCAGTAATTCCGCTTGCAAAAACAAAGGAGCAAAACGCGCTTGGACTATTGATAAAGCGAGCGCAGCTCTGAGGGCATCCATGCTGTCGGCTAGTGTAAACACAGGTCGCACACGTGATGTCAGCATTTTTTTTGTCGCGGAATGTGACGTTGCGAACCTTAAAACTCCGGTTTTGTCTGTCCACACGCAGACACCCAAAACTGAGAAAACGCAGATCTTCACTTTGGCCGGAGTTTTTAAAAAGATCTGTTTTCGTGTGGATGACAGGACAAAACGTAGAAAAATATCTACGTTTTGGCAGATCCCCGGCTACGTGTGGACAGGGTCTTACCCCCAAATTCCACTACCTCCGCTCCGCCACGAACGCCGGAGCAAAATCGGTCCCGTTGTAGTCAATCAGAGCAATTCCACTACTGCGGTTGTGGTCCAGCAGTGCGCGCCGTGCGCCGCCCTCTGTTCCGGCAAAAATAGTATCGATCCTATTTTTGCCGGATGCCGGAGCACCTCCGCAGTAAATGGACAGAAATCACAACCACCAAACAGGAAAAGGAGCAAGCACAGCTTCCGTTTTTCACAATAAATCGATAAACAAAAGGCGTTTTTTGTTTCATATGCACAGGTTTAACAACTATCAATGGCAGCTGAAGTTTAAATGCACAAAGGTAAGCCATAAATATAGATTCTACTATCAAAGTGGTCACACTTTGTTGATCCAAACACTGCTGATCTCTCAACACAAATGATGGGCAGATTAAACAGTTCATTTCGATGCTTCTCCCACACAACGGGTGTTTGGATCTAACTTCCGCGTTTATTGCTCGGACTGTATCGCAAGATCTCGAAAATCCTGCGCATGCTTGTTTGCCCACCTCAGGTCTCCGGAGCGGAGCCGTTGTAGAGCGGGTACCAGTAAAAATTGAGTTCGGAAGCGAGCGGATGCGGAAGGCGGGGGCGGACCGGAGGTATTGGAATTTGGGGGTTAGACTGCTGGAGGATACACTGACCACTTTTCACACTCTACTACTTTCTTCTACAATCTGCTCTTTAACTGTATTATTTTCTGCAATTTCAGCTGTTAACTTTATTGTCTCTCTGTGTTTTTCTCCCCAGAAGAAGCTACAATGATGTTTTGCTGAGCTGTGGTGGCCTCATGGAGGGGGCCATCGACTAGCACACTGCTGCTAACCACGAAAACATTCTCCCTCTCCTGATAATAACTTTTTGTTTCCTTGACGTTGGATGTGCTACTACTAGTTTATCCGTTAAATTATAGATCCACTAGGATAAATACAATAAAGTTTATCTCTCACCAAATAGAATATTTACTAAGAAATCACAATATAACTATAGACACATTACTTTGTCTTTGCGTGAGTGTGTGCCGTCTTCTCGATCCCCAGTGAGTCGTGGAGGATGGCTGCTTATACTGAGCCAGGATTCTCTGGAGGTTTCTTCCTGTTAAAAGGGAGTTTTCCTCTCCACTGTCGCTACATGCTTGCTTAGTATGAGGATTGCTGACTTGATGCAATTTGCTGGGTTCCTTATATAGGAAACATCATTTCTGATTGGCTTAATGAACTGACCTGGATTGGAATGTTTATTATGTGAAGTGCCTTGAGACGACTCTTGTCGTGATTTGGCGCTATATAAATAAACTTGAATTGAACATAATCATCAGCTAAATGCAGGATTGCACGACAACAATTTTTGCATAACGAGCCCCACTTTACAAGGTTAACAACCTGGTAGTTCTTTATGTTGGAAATGATTTTCTTAACTTCTGGCTGGACGTCAGCCATGAAGCTCTCCACTCTATCGGGATTGGTCTCCTGCAGCTTGGCCTTGATACTGAACATATAGGCAGAAGGATATCAGTTAGAAAATGTCATCAACCTAAATTATAGCTATAAACAAATAAAGTGACAGCAAAACTCAATGTGTTGTCTTGAACCGATCAAACAGTCGGCATCTGCTGACTCACAAGATACTCACGCTTTGACGTAGTCTTTGATGTAAGCCATGTACTGCTTCTTATCAAAGCCAGTCTCTTGCAGCTTGTGGTTGAGGACGATGTCGACTCCTGAGACAGTGGCTGACTCATTTGATTCAGATGCCTCTTCAGCAGAGGCGTTGGCAGAAATTAAAGCATCATCAAACCCCTCTGTCCTGGTGACCGTCTACAAGTGATGAGCAGAACCACACACACACAAGGTAAGAGATGACAAGGACAGATTGATGGTTGCACATTTGTTATTTCACATTGTATGAGCTAAAGACCAATTTCACTCATTTTTTCCAATATATCTGCAGTGTTCTCTAATAGAAACTAATGCCCTGTGAGTCAATCTCAATAGACAAAAGATGTGGTTCTCCCAGTGTTTCCGAACAAAAATGATCGTATTTGTAGGATAATTTATCCTTCTGCACAATGTAAATCCCAAAACGTATGCCATTTGAGCCATTCATTCTGTGGAATCTGCACCTGCAGATTGCCTGTAGAGAAATTCCCTTACAACTATTCAATGCTTATGTTGCATGCAGTGGCAAATGATGCTGTCCACAATGAAGGAGGAAGTTGTAAAATCAGTAGCTCCAGCTAAATACCACAGGTGAAATACAGGCAGAGCATAGAGCCCTGCAGTTCAGCAGAATGAGTATCACAATCAGAAGATTTTACTGCCACATGTGCGAGAACCATAACATAAGAAATTAATAAGAATTAGGGCCGGGACATTAACGCGTTAATTATGATTAATTAGAAAAAAGTAACGCGTTAAAAAATTAACGCATTTAATCGCAGCTTGCATTTCAAACACGGCAGAACCTTTGTCATTGCACGACTTCCTCGTAGACTGAATATCACTGACGCACACAACAATGCACAGTCCTAATGGCTACTAAAACGGAATAAAAACAGAAAGAAGTTGCCTTGCTTGGACTGATGCAGGATTTAGGAAACACGTCCGTCTCTTTTCTTAACTTGGAAAAAATAACTTCCAGACAACAACGGAGTCCGTGTCGGACATTTTTCAGAGATCGATACTGCTGCGGCTGCCCGGTGGCAACGGGAACTTTACAAAAGTTGCGTTAAGCTATATTTTTAACATTCACGTAACATCTGTGCAGCGCTGAAAGCACCAGACAGAATAATTCTGTGCCCTAACAGTAGTTTATGAAAGTAGTCAGACAAACGAGAGGCACCTGGCTGCCGCTGGGAGAACGCTCCGTGTTCTCACTACTCTGTAAACAATCACAAACAACGCGTCTTACAGTTGAAAACAGAAGTTTAAGTTAAAACAGAAACACTCTGAAACTTTTCTGATGATTTTCTAAACAATTCTGTCGAGGGGTTATACGTTTCTGAGACGAGTCTCTGTCTAAACATCACATGCATTACTATCATTAAGCAGCGAGGTGTGTTGAAGCTGTCATCAGCTAAGGGGCGGATGCTTAAGTGCATCAGGGGCAGCGAGGAACGAGGAAGTTGTGATCAGGCTGGAGATCACACCAGATTCGCTGCTGCAGGCGTGAATCTGCGGGTCTGCAGCATCCCCTTCTTAACGTGACATCAGGACTTCCCATGTAAGGAAGGTCTGCTCACCTGTTCGTCAGATCATTATTTCCTCGCCATGATCTTTTATCATCCCATCAACCTCCAGTCATCCAACTGGAACCAGTTAGTGTTCCTGATCATTCTCAGAATATGCCATGCCTGCTCTGGTGTTAAAAGTTAGTACAATTAAGTCCTAGATCATATTTGTGCCTGTTCTACTGTCATTTTGAAGGATTGTTATTTATGTGTTTTTACTACATTATGAGTAGAAATGCTAATAAAAACTCCCAATTATACAAACAAGTGAAACTGGAAAAATTAGAATCTGGTGCAAAGTCTAATTTATTTCAGTCATTCAACTAGACAGAGAGACTATTTAAAGGCTCAGGAACCCTTTGCAGGCGTTTTCAATTTGTAATTATAAATTTTAGTTGATTTGGGTCTTGTTTCATATCACACAGTGACATTTGAATAATTAAAATGCATTTTTTTATTAAAAGCGTTAGTTTACAGTAATAACCATGTCTAATGTTTGATTCTCTGTCTCATAATTTTAATTAAGTTTTACTTTGAGAGCACACTTTCCTGAACGATTAAAATGCGATTTAGATAAATTAATTACAAAGCCTGTAATTAATTAGATTAAAAATTTTAATCAAGTCCCAGCCCTAGTAAGAATATAATCATGATAAATATAAAGTGGCAATACTTAGAGAAACAGCTGCTATATACACAAGTCAGTGTAGGTACTAATCAGAGTGGATCAGTTCAGGTACAAACAACAGTGTCAGGTGAGTCTGACAACAGAGAGGAAGAAACTGTTCTTATGGCGAGTAACAATTTTAGGAAGCAGCATCGCCAGCAGGCATCCCGACAGGAGTGGGAAAGATGCACTGCATTAACTGACTGGCATTCCCACTAAAGCTTCAAATAGCCAGTGTGCCAATTCCAATCTTACAGGAGAAAAATGACAGATGCAGAAAGTTAGAACTGTTACTGCCTTTTGACACTTGAAATCAATACGGTATCAATTCACCAGTACCTACGACTCAATACAGGTACTTTAACATTTTGATACTTTTGCTTATTATTTAAATCTTTTTGATTGAAAATGTTCCTCACTATACAATCATATTTGATAAATATCACAACAACAAACAGCTGTTTGTATTTTATCATCGTAGTGTTGTACAAATCATTTAATATGAAAAACCTTTAACCACATCAGTTTCTAAATGATACAAAAATCTGGACTCGTATTCCTCTTCTAATCCCTCTGGAATAACTGATGTGGAGACCAAACATAAACTACAAATGAAACTAAAACAAACTTGGATACCATACAACTGTTTGTATTTTATTATTGTGTTGCTTCACAAACTATACTCAGCTCCACGTTCTTCTACTCCTCTTCTTTCCCGTCTGGACAGGAGGGTTTCCCAGGTGAAAGTGAATGCATCACTAGCTGATAGCAATGCTAACAGAAGCTAAAATATCAAGCTAACGTTATGTTTAGAGCGGGTTTGCTTTCCGTTGGACTGAATTTCCAATTTCCGAGGAGAAAGCGAACGTACCACTAGCTGAACAGAAGCCAAAATATCAAGCTAACGTTGTGTTAAACAGTTCATTTACCTGCTGGAGCAGATCAAGACGAAGATGCCTCACTTAGAACGTGGTCAGTGGTTTCATAATCACCCAGTTACCCACCCCATTTAGTGAAGAGGACCCAAAATTTAAAGCGCGTCCCCTCTACCATGCTGCTTGTTCCGTTTACAGCTCGCCCACAGCGACAGACGGCATTATGCTCTTGCGCCAGCGCTGCTGGATATCTTGGCAGATCACTGTTTTATTATGAAGGATGGATACCGAAACAAGGCACCATTTCACAACACTATAGTCTGAACCATGGAATTTGGTCGGTGCCTTAAAAAGTACCAAATTTGGTACCCGTCCTTACTGATATTGAAGCTGTGGGTCACCAGACGTGTTTGGATACAACTAATTAGCGTACAATAATCTCAAAATACAATTATTTTAAGAACCTGGCACAATACTTTAACATTTTCCATCTGGAACACTGACTGCTCCTGTTTCAGGAACTAGAAGTTAGCCAGAGGTGAGGTGAGCAGAAAACAACCGGATTTTGAGTCTTATTTTCTGAGATATTTCAAGATGGAGGAGTCCATGAATGTTAATTTTCATTGTGCGTTTTGACGCCCACACAGTAATAAAATGCAAATGACGAAAGTCATCATTGGCATTGAACAGTTGGATTTAAATTTACGACTTTAGTTGTCAATGGCAGTGAATGAGTTAAACTCAGAGTGACCGATTAGATTTCAAAAACAAGTAAAAAATGTTATTTAAGTTAACTTCGTTTTTAAAACATCCCAGAGCTACTCAATAAATAATAAAATCAAAAACGTACTTTTCCAAATAAAAGAAATCAAAAATCATAAAAAGTCACAAATTCCTACTCCCAAATGCAGACAGCTTAGTTTATCGGGTAAATCCAAGACTCGCCCCACAAAGGAATGGAAGATCACTTATCTAAAGAAACCGATTGTTTTGAAAAGTAATCACGCTGTTTTTGGCCACAGACATTCATGAGAATTGTATAAACTTTAACAAAACTGAATTTCAACTTCACATTTTTATGACTTTCATTGAAATCAGTAAACAAAACTTGTCAGAACTGTTTAGTGAATGTTACAAAGCCAAGAGAACTTTGCAACATTCAGAACTATTCCATGTATCAACAGTAACTCACTTTTCCTTCAACTTCAAAGAAAATCCCATTTGCAGACTCTTTCACTTTGAAGGTATCTGAGAACATCTCATCATCTGAAAAGAAAAAGAAAACTCAACACAAAACAAACGTGAACCAGCACCTGGGTGTGTCGCGCAGTCGTTTCACGCAGTGGTTAAACGACTGCTGTTTTGTAACGATAAAGCAGCTCGGAAAAATAGTTGTGCCGTTAAAATGGGCCGAGCTGTTTGTACTTTTAAAACCCAAGAAAAAGCAGCCAGTAGCTAATAGCTAAACGATGCGGCTGAAAGGCCACAACTCTTGCTGCTACACTAATGCTCCGTGGCAAATATCCAGCCGAAGTTAATCTCTTTATCACTTTAGTGAAACTTGTCGATAGTTAAGCTGCGACAAATGAATCCATTAGCGGACTGTGGCTAAGCCTCAGCATAAAGCCCAGTGAGATTTTAGTTAGCGCTAACTTCCACGATAAACACGAGTTAGCCTGCTACTCTAGCTAACTCTGTCCTCAAACATCAACAAATTACCCTTAGCGCCACTAACGCAAACACACGTGTTTGTTTAAAAACACATTAAATTCAACACTAGTAACGGAAACTTACCGCTGATGAGGCACTTGTAAATGATCATTTTGCTGTTTCGGTGTTAAAGTGACCAGACAGAGAGCAGGCCAACCACCCCGATAGCTCGGCAGGGGAAAAAGAACGATCAGGCCGTGAGTCGCAGCATTTACGTCCTGCTGACGTCAAAACTGAGCTGCGCTGCCACTACGCCAGATGTGGCCAAAAGTGGTACTGCAGTAGAATGTATCAGCATTCTATGTACAGCGTTACTTTTATACACACACACACACACACACACACACACACACACACACACACACACACACACACACACACACACACACACACACACACACACACACACACACACACACACACACACACACACACACACACACACACACACACACACACACACTTTAGGTTAGGAATAAACCATAAATTGTGTGATCACTATCAAGTCTCAATCACACAAAACTTTTTGCTGCCCTTCACTGCAGTGCAGATACCAGCCTGAGATTAATAAAGAACATCTATCTAGCTACCTATAACTACATTTGCAAGAGGAAAATACAAGTTTCACATAAAAGCTCCTCATAAGAAAACAACAGCCTTGGAGTTAAAGGTTCAGGGTGTTTAACTATGGCATCGTTTTAATTACAATTTTCTCTGCGGGTGAGAAGGCTGGGATTAACTGTCACTGTGGCCTTCCCAGTCTCTACTTTTGAACATGACAGTCGGCTCACAAAGTTCATTTGTTGCTTAGTTACAGTAGATAAATCATTTAATGACAGGATGAATACATGAATCATTTTAGCATGTCATCGCTGATGATATGGAAACCAACTCAGAGTTCATAAGTCAGAGGAACACTTAGACATGACCAGTAATGAAACTTTATTCCTTATTTGGTACGAAAACCAATTTATCTTCGAATGAAACCATCGTAAAACAGAAATTCTACTGGACTTTCATGTGAATGTATAGGTAACAATCAGGTAGATTTATTCACAAGCTTACCTTTATTTCTATTTAAGACTAATAAAAAATAAATGCGAACCAGCAGACTCAAACCGAATACAAGCAACCACAACAGAACAAAAACATTATGTACACACACACACTGTCAGATGATTAAGATACAAATGAAGAGCTAAAGGTACACATGTGCTCTGAAAGCTTCCTCCCACTGATTCCTTTGCCACGTTTCCTTTGTGAGGAAGGCAAATTACTTTTGATGTTCCACACCACTGAAAACGTGTTTTAGCAGAAGGATGCACACTGTACAGGAAACAGTTACCAGAAACCTGTTGGGCTTTAACTGATCTTAAACCAAAATGTTACAACTGTCCACAGTCTGTAATGACCAGTTTCTTCGAGGGAATGCCTCCCTTTGTGCCCAGCTCTCCCATCTGCTGCACCACATCCATACCGTCCCGAACCCAGCCAAAGGCTACGTGTTTGAAGTCCAGATGTTCGGCTTTCTTCAAGGTTATAAAGAACTGAGAGTTGTTGGTGTCACGTCCACGATTGGCCATGGACAGAATGCCTGGGCCCGTGTGCCTTACATCAAAGTTTTCATCTTCGAATGCGCCACCATAGATGGACCTACCGCCTGTGCCATCGCTTTTGGTGATGTCACCACCCTGGAACACAAAAGGGAAACATACTGATGATAGATGACCTGCACTTGTAAAGCGTCTTTCAGAGTCAGAGGACTCTAAAGCGCTTTATACTATGGTGAATAAAAAAGTAAGTTCACCAAACCCGTGAAACTAGAGTGAAACAGGAAGGTAGCGGTCAGTGAGTTATGGGCTCGATACACGGGAGGCAACATTGCATTGAAAATATTTCAACTTTTCATCGCTGTCGCTCGGATGACAACCAATCAACGGAGGTTTCATTCATTGACCAATGAGAGGACAGGATGTTCCCTACATCTCCGAGCAAACATGGAGAAGTTGATACTTCCTGTGACGGATTTCCCAGAACTGTACAATATTTCTACCAAAGAAAACAGAGATATTCACAAAAAGGCCGCGGCATGGGAAACTGTTGGTTTTTACGTAGTAAAATCAGAAGTAAGATTTCAAATAACTCTAGCAGCACCTTGTGAAACATCACATCTACCGCTTTTTTAACTCTGAACCGCCGGTGTTCTGACTATCCGTTCTTCCTCGTCAAATTTTCCTACCAACGCGCATTTCAACAGCTGATTCATTCTGTCCAGGTTTGCTGAAAATCGGTAGCTACTGTTAATTTATTTTATGAAAAAAGGTGGATTGTGTAAGAAGCAGTTTAGTCATTTTGTAAAAATTAAACCCCTTAGTTGCTAAAAACATTTGAATATCCTCAGAACAATGACGATTTACCAACTACTTTCACCCATGTCGAGAAAGTGATTCATAAAAATGGAGATTTGTAAGACGTTAGCTCTTACCGTTCTATTTCTCTACCTAATCCTGTATTAGACAAATTAATCCACATAGAACAAATATGCTTTCTCCCCAATATTTATAGTTATTTGTTTGAATGTACAATTTTGGAGATTATTATACAACTATGATAAATTTATTATATGTATAATATAAAACTTTTGGATATTAATTTGGGACTCTTTCAAAATGACTGTAAACAATGGGAGAAATTTCTTGTTTACAGTATAATAACGATATTTTAGAAGCCATTTGCAAGCTGTCAGGTAAACTTACAGCAAGCAGTAATTTAATTAAACAACTTAAAGAAATACTTACTGTGACCTTCGACGAGTTGAAAGTAACTAGCTAAGTGACGAGATTAAACGTAAACTTCCACAGATAACACGTCTTGACTTGTAAACAGCCTGTGATGCAATAATTGGCCTGTGCATTCCCCCAAAGTAGCACATTTCGACAGGGGGCACGGATAGTCGGAACACCGGCTTAAATAACCTTAATTCCCTCCAACCTGACACAGCCAATCAAAACAACGGAAGATTCGATTTCACCATGGAACAGAACGCGTCGACGGCTTTGCCGTTGGCTGCGGGTTGCCTCCCGTGTCAGGTAATAAAAGCGACAGCGATGAATTTCGCTGATCGCGGTCGTTTGTCGCCTCCCGTGTTTCAAGCCCATAAATGTTAAACTCATCAGGCTAAAAGCTGAGGCTCATCACAACGGAGACCCTCACCTGACACATGAAATCTGGTATGACCCTGTGGAAGATGGAGTCCCGTAGCCCAAAGCCTTTCTCTCCGACGCAAAGAACCCTAAAGTTTTCTGCCGTCTTCGGAACAATATGAGAGAAAAGCTCTATAGTGATGGTGCCCAGCGGCACATTGTCAGCAGACACTTTGAGGAACACCTGAGGATTGGTCTTTCTGGAGTGCTCTTGGACTCTGGACATCTGTTGCCAGGTAATCGAAGCATCCTCACCGATTTGGCCCATCCGGTTCTGACATTCGCAGAAAGTTTTACGGAAGGACTCGGCTATTTCTGGGGTTTTGAACTTAGCTGCCAGCTGCTCTACGACACCATCACCGTCTAGAATGTGGAGATAGCAACAAGTAAGCAGTCAGGAAGATCAGAGAGTACCACAGGGTTTTTTATGATCCACAAGTCTAAAGGAGCTTAGTTTTTTTACACTAAATAATATCAGCCTGAATCCTGTTCAGGATGTGTACCTGAGTAGTCGGTAGCGGTCCAGACCAGCGCGTTAGCTGAGGTGTTCATGGGTTTGAGCTCCATCGTCTGTGAGATGGTGTGGTTGGCACAAACCCTCAGCACCTGCTCTCTTCTCATCAGGATTCGATAAAAGTGTTTGGTTGGGTGGAAGAGGATCTTGACGTCGCCGATGCCACGCTCCTTCCACTGACCGAGGTCCCGGTCCCATCGGAAAAGCTTGGTGCGCTCTTTAAACAGGATTTCCTCATCTTCCTCTCCAGACTTAGTCTCCACCTGAGACACAAACAAACCTGATTTTCAAACGTTGCCTCTAAATCATCGAATTGTCTTAAAAAGGGGAATACTATTCTGATACCTCAGGCAGGGATACTATAGGCTCAAAGTGAATGTCCACATTTTTAGGAGCCTCTTCTTCATCACTTCCATCCTCATCAACATTGCTTTTAGCCTCGGAGGACATATTGGACCCAAACACCATCGCTCCAGCATTTGCCCACGAGAAACCAGAATCTATGCAAACAAACAAACAAACAAACATTTGTTCCATTAATTCTGAAATATTTCAATTTTAAAAAGACGCCACTTAAAGTCGATAAAACCAACCTTTTGTTCCAAACGCAAACCCTTCAGTATTCTTGGCCAAGTCGGCAAAAGAAAACCCTCCAAGGGAGTTGAAACCAAAAGAGTCTGCATCAACAGGGGCAACGTTATTAGTGACAGAAACAAACTGATGTGTTGTTTTAATGCAGCAGAGAAATGTATCTGACAGCAACATGGTCCCTGTTAAAATGTGAAAACAAACTAAGTCATCAGAAGCTGAAGAAGACACATTGTGCATAATTAAAATGTAAGTCCCAGTTTTAGAAAGGTCACTATGTTCTAAGTATAATGGTTACTTAGAATCGGATCTGTTTTTAAACAGCTTCAACATAAAATCTCAGATCCAAGAATAAAATCATCCTCCAACAGTCGTTTGGTTTACTAAACGTCTCAGACTCCGATAAACAGAGGTGTTAACTAGGGATGCTCCGATCACGTACTTTTCAGGAAATCAGAATAAGGTGAGAAAAATCTGATTTAAACATATAAAACAAAAACCATAACTTTTTTTAAATTTATCAAAAAGATTTTCATGCACAATAATATTGGCTTAGTTTTAAATTCGACAAGTTCCTCTACATCAGTATTCTTTGTTTCATTTACAACACCGTAAGTCTCACAATTTAAGGTAGTCCGGGAATCCACGCACCATAACACGTAGCAGTTAGCTAACACAGAGCATAGTTGTCACCTGAAGAGAAAGAAAATGTCTGTACTTTGGATGCATTTTTAATTGAACTTCCCTGTTGCTGAAAACAGACGCACAAAAGCGGGGTTGTGTGGCTATGTCTGCCTGCATTTGCTGATTGTGCAGAATGTTGCAGCACGATCTGCAAACGATTCAGGGCCAACTAAGAGCGAGTTGGCACAGTCGAGGCGAGAGTGTATCACAGACTCCAAGTGCGACCTTTTCAAAATCGGCTTCAGGCCAGCCAAACAACAAAGTTGAAAACAAAAACACGACCTCACAACTGCATTGATCATCGTAAACCTCACATCTGATTTCATCCCAAGGCTGGTAACACACCTCTTGAGGTCCAAACTTGGAAGTGTCGGTACCCCACAGGTGCAAGACTGGTTTTTGGGGACAAAACGAATGGCCTCAGTCTTCGACTCATTAAGTTTAAGGAAATTGGCTGCCAGCCACCTCTTCACATCAGAGACCATTCTTGAGTAATAAATCTGTGTTTTGTCTAGGGCTGCACAATATATCGCAAATATATCATTATCGCGATATCAACATGCGCAATATGCATATCACAAAGAACAGATAAATATCGCAATGAACGGTCAGCTCAAATGTTTGCTACACATGACGCATTCTGTCAATCAAATGGAAGCATGATGCTTTTTTAACAAATCAAATAGAGCTCTTCATCCATTTGGCCAACTGGGTGGGTTCTCATAGGTTAAATGCCCGCCCCCGACACTTAATTTTGATGGTTAGCAAACACCCGAGTTAGCTTTGTTCTGCTCTTTCTGCTGATTCTGCTTTTCCCGGGATCCACTGATTGCCTTTTCTTGTTCATTTTCTTTTTCCCTTTCTTGACACCTTTTGCTTTTCTCATTTTTATTTATTTATTTTTTTTATTTCTTTGTTTTTGATCATTTTTGTTCCACAGTTAAGTTTTAATTTATCGCAAGTAATACTGTCATCGCAATATTAATCACTGTTATCGCACATCGCAGCTTTTTCTAATATCGTGCAGCCCTAGTTTTGTCCATTCATTGCCGAGTATATCTGACAGTCATCTGCGTAGCTATGGTAGCCTATGCTGTACCATTTTAAAATCTGTCCCAAAGGGAGAAGATAGATGGAGAACAGAATGGGCCCCCAGGACAGAACCCTGCAGCTCCCCCCAGGTCAACAGAAGGCAGGGAGAGGCACAGTCACCCATACACACACACAAAAAAGACCCATTTGCCAGATAGGAACGGAACCAACCCAGGGCTGGACCCAAAAGACCGACCCAGCATTTTAGATAATTTAGCAGGATTTGATGGTCGACTGTATCAAAAGCTGCTGAGAGGTCCAGCAACAGCAGCAGAATGTGGGACTCCTGAGTCGGATGCTACCAAGTACATGAATCAAAGCAGACTCGGCGCTGTGATGTGGTCTGAATTAGGCATGCAAAATTACGATACTGGTATCTGTGCCGATACAGATATTGGTATCGGTAAAAGTTAACAGATACCAGTAACTGATACCAATGCAGTTGCTTGAAAGTGACTTCCCTGTAACTTGTCATTTTTGTTCATCTAATATTTTAGTTTTGTGATCACTTACAGGTGCTGGCCAGTAAATTAGAATATCATCAAAAGGTTGAAAATATTTCAGTAATTCCATTCAAAACGTGAAACTTGTACATTATATTCATGCAATGCACACAGACCAATGTATTTCCAATGTTCATTACATTTAAATTTGATATTCATAAGTGACAACTAATGAAAACTCCAAATTTGGTATCTCAAAAAATTAGAATATTCTGAAAAGGCTGAATATAGAAGACACCTGCTGCCACTCTAATCAGCTGATTTACTCAAAACACCTGCAAAGGCCTTTAAAAGGTCCCTCAGTCTTGTTTTGAAGGCACCACAATCATGGGGAAGACTTCTGACTTAACAGCTGTCCAAAAGACAATCATTGACACCTTGCACAAGGAGGGCAAGACACAAAAGGTGATTGCTAAAGAAGCTGGCTGTTCGCAGAGCTCTGTGTCCAAGCACATTAACAGACAGGCGAAGGGACGGAAAAAATGTGGTAGAAAAAAGTGTACAAGCTCTAGGGATAACCGCACCCTGCAGAGAATTGTGACGACAAACCCATTCAAAAATGTGGGGGAGATCCACAAAGAGTGGACTGCAGCTGGAGTCAGCGCTTCAAGAACCACCACGAGGAGACTCATGAAAGACATGGGATTCAGGTGTCGCATTCCGTGTGTCAAGCCACTCTTGAACAAGAAACAGCGCAAGAAGCGTCTCGCCTGGGCCAAGGACAAAAAGGACTGGACTGATGCTGAGTGGTCCAAAGTTATGTTTTCTGATGAAAGCAAGTTCTGCATTTCCTTTGGAAATCAAGGACCCAGAGTCTGGAGGAAGAGCGGAGAAGCACAGAATCCACGTTGCATGAGGTCCAGTGTAAAGTTTCCACCGTCAGTGATGGTGTGGGGTGCCATGTCATCTGCCGGTGTTGGCCCACTCTGTTTCCTGAGGTCCAGGGTCAATGCAGCCGTCTACCAGGAAGTTTTAGAGCACTTCATGCTTCCTGCTGCTGACCAACTTTATGGGGATGCAGACTTCACCTTTCAACAGGACTTGGCACCTGCACACAGTGCCAAAACCACCAGCACCTGGTTCAAGGACCATGGTATCCCTGTCCTTGATTGGCCAGCAAACTCGCCTGACCTTAACCCCATAGAAAATCTATGGGGTATTGTGAAGCGGAGGATGCAATACGCTAGACCCAACAATGCAGAGGAGCTGAAGACGACTATCAGAGCAACCTGGGCTCTCATAACACCTGAGCAGTGCCACAGACTGATCGAGTCCATGCCACGCCGCATTACTGCAGTTATTGAGGCAAAAGGAGCCCCGACTAAGTATTGAGTGCTATACATGCACATTCTTTTCATGTTCATTCTTTTCAGTTGGCCAACATTAGAGAAACAAACATTTTTTCATTGGCCTTTAGAATATTCTAATTTTCTGAGATACCAGATTTGATGTTTTCATTGGTTGTCACCTATAAATATCAAAATTAAACGTAATAAACATCGGAAATACATTGGTCTGTGTGCATTGCATGAATATAATGTACAAGTTTCACGTTTTGAATGGAATTACTGAAATATTTTCAACCTTTTGATGATATTCTAATTTACTGGCCAGCACCTGTATATTACTTTTTATCTACCTCACAGTCTTTTCCTGTTGAAAACAGAGAAGAAAATAAAACCTGTATTCTAATTCATTGCATTTTTTGGTGTGGTAGAAGTATCTGCATCGGTTATCGGTATCGGTGAGTACTCAGATCCAAGTATCAGTATCGTATCGGTTTGGAAAAAAGTGGTATCGTTGCATCCCTAGTCTGAATGCAGACTGAAACTTATTTAACAGTGCATTGTCCTCCATATTGGCCGTAATCTGTGAATGAACAGCTTTCTCCAAGACCTTTGAAGGAATGGAGCTTGACGTTTTATGACAAATGACTAAAGAAATGACGAATACAGAAATAAACGCATTAATGATAGAAAACACCTAAAGGACAACTCTAGTGTGTTCTCTTTTCTTAATGCATTTCTAAAGTATCGGATCGGGACTCGGTATTGGCAGACTCTGAAAATCAAATGCCTCTGAATCAGAAGCATAAAAACGTGATCGGAACATCCACTACTGTTAACTACATACGTGAACATCAGTCCTAAGCACCTTCTGTACCTTGACCAGTAGTTGTGACAGCTAAAGCTGAAGAATCAGGTCCTGTTTTAGTCTCTGGGTTCTTCTTAGTGGACAGGTCAATCGGGAAGCTGCAGCTGGGCGTTTCGCTCCTAGTGTCTGTTTTGACTGAAGTTAGACCATCGGATGTCGACATGCTTGAAGCCTCTGCACTGTTGGATGGTGGTGCTGAGGCTGGGTTCTCTGGGGCCTCTACAGAACTGCTGGATGCCGGCTCAGCTCCCTTTAACTGGGCCACCTGATTAAATTAAACCCACGTTATTTTATGACTACATCCTTCCCGGTGTATTATGTGTGTATGCCTGTAGAAAATGACTGGTATTCCTGAAAAACAGAAGCCTTGACTGACTAGCTGCAGCATCATGATTACCTGAGCAGATCCTACCATCCAAACCCACCACCAACCTGACAGAACAGACTTAAGCCTTTTTCTACAAACAGCTCCACATATAGCTGATCATGTAAACGCATGTTGGTAAACACCCACCTCAATAAGTGAACTAAACTCCACCCCCACTGAGTTAGTTACCAGGTCTTTGTGTGCTTTGTGGACTTCTGTCTCAAAGTCTTCAGGCTTGTCGCTGTCTGGGTCACTATCTGTGGTGCTCAGGCCGCAGAAGAATGTGGGTGGGAGCTGGAGGCTTTTGGCCTTCTCCTCCTCCTCTGGTGTTGGTTTCTTCTCCCACACAATCTGACAGTCTGGCTCTGAAAGCAGAACTCACAAGATTAGTGTGACACGTCGACGGTGTGACAGCATGACTTGCTCAGAAGAAGCACCACCATTACTGCAGCAGAGCACATAGTTAATGTGGTTAATTCATATTTATTATATTCAATAAACTGTTCTAATGAATCAAAGCAATGATAAATGTTATGTAGATGCTGACTTGACTGAGTTAGACTTACCTTCATGACAAGCTGCTGCCTCAGGAGGATCTAGGTAGAGCTTTCCATTCAAGGCTTTAACTGCTGACTCAAAGTCCTCATCTGACAGTAAAATACAAATTAGTACTATTAAAATAAATATATAAATGACTGCACATGACCAACAACCCAGTTCCAAAACAGAAGCGGTTAGTTTCGGTGGTTCTTGAGCAGAGGTGGAAATGAAAACTTTTCTACCAGCCACTCAAACATTTAACCAGCCACGTTTTTATGTGAAACATTTTGCCTCAGCTTCTATCTCTGCTCTGAGGGAGTTTCTCTCAACTTCAGCTTTGTACGTCAAACACTCTGGCTGCTTCCAATTCACATCAGTTTATTCCCTTCCTTTCATCTAATCCACAATGAAGGAGAAAAAATCTAGGACTTGGAAGTAATAATACTTAACATTGTGGATCTTTTTACTTGGTAGTTTATTTTAGTATTAGCTGGCTTATGCTAGTGTTGGCCAGTGTTGGGAGTAATGCGGTACAAAAGTAATTAATTACTGTAATGCATTGGTTTTTGCTGTAATGTGGTAATGTAAGGCATTACAGGGAAAGAAAATGGTAATATTTACTCGGTACAATTGTCAGTAACGCAGTAATTACAATGCATTTTTAAACCCAGAATCCAGATGTGGGTTTCATAAAAATTCAAATCGCGGGAAACCCGAAGAAAGATCCAGTATCTGCATATATTACGTCATTTATGGACTCAGCTTTGCGGGCAGAGAGGACGCCGCGGTAATGGCTCAAATACTCCAGCGGCGTCCTGCACGCGGCCGCTGCAACATTCACAAAATCGCTCCAATAAAACAAAATAATTCACTTGCGATCGTTCATATCAGCGCATGTTCTCTGGTATTCTGTACTTTTCTGACGTGCTTTGCCTCAGCTGAGTTCATAATCTGTGCCCCGGTGATTTCAACTCATTACTGCTGGAGCATAGCCTAGTGAACTAGACCAAATTCTTGCTTTGCAAAGAATGGTCTAGGCATGCTCCATTGGAACCTCAGCAGCTCCTACCAGGACTCTGGCTAGCCAATCACAGCTCTCTAGAGGGGTTTCAAACACACAAAGAGCTGTGATTGGTCCATAATGGTGGGCCAGTCATAGTGCTCTATCTGCTTAGTGAACAAATCAGAGCTTTATCCGCTTTGTGGGCCAATCAGGGCACTCTATATGCCTGGTGGGTGGGATGATGCAACAGAGTGAAACAAGAGTATGTCACATTCATTGTCCAGTGGAATGCAGAGATCATTTGAAAGACAACAGTAGAACCCGCCCCACAACCAAGAGCCGTCAGTGGAGCATGGCCAGACTAAATAATACATTTATTTAGTCTGGCTTGCCAGGCTAGCTGGAGCACCACGCATGTGAAGATCCCTTTGGCTGATCGTTAGAAAGTAGGAAATCTAGGAAACAGTTTTTCTGGAAGACGGAGAAAACATGCAGCATGCAGGAAGGTTAGCGAGAGAAAGGGCCGGAAATTATTCAAATAAAATCAAGAAAAAAAGAAAAAAGTAGGAAGATTTATCCCCGATACACATTTTTACCAGTGAAAAGCAATAATACAATAAGCATTTAATATTTATACATGTGATAGAATCAGATCACCCCAGAAGTCAGTTCCACATCCAGGGCCGTATCAAGGCATTTGGGGACCAAGGCAAATATAGGCTTGGAGCCCCCACCACCTCACTCCCTGCTCAGTTAATATAAGATGGCAGCGTGCTGAGAGTACAGATTGTTGTTGCTTTTATTTAATAAACAATCATTTTAAAGCACTGTTATTATATCTGACTGTTTTAACAGCAATCCTAGCTCAGACACCACATCACTTTCCACATATATGTCATGAGCTCACTGAGCGTCACATGACCAGATTCATACTGAAGTTGTTTTGGTGAAAGTAACTTAAAGTAATGCAAAAGTAGTGTAATGCCTTACATTTTAAAATCAGTAATATTGTAATGTAATGAATTACTTTAAAATGAGGGTAACAAGTAATAAATAATGCATTACAGTTTTGAAGTAACTTGCCCAACACTGGTGTTAGCGCTAGCTACAGGCTAGCAAGCTGAGGCAGGGTTGTTAATGACAGTTGTAATTTATAAATCTGTCAGATTTAGAAACTGGTAAATGCAACTGGCCCGTTTGGGGTAAAAAATAATCTTTGAACAAGTTTTTTTTTATTTAGGATTTTCAAACAAAGATGTGTGATGTAATTTACAGTTCCAGTCATCAGAATCTGTCTTTGCTCAGCTTTCATATCTTTCGTCTCACCGTCGGTTTCGTCATCGCTGACGTAGCCAGGCTCATTTTTGTAGCAGAAGAATGTGAACGGCAGCCTGAGTTCCCTGGCTAACGCTGCCTGTTCAGTTGTGGGCTCCTTGACGTATACAACCTCAACATCTGAGTCCTCATCTGAGCCCGAGGGGCCTCCTCCTGCCTGGGGGGGTGCTGTAACAGGAAAAACAGAAGATTTAAAAAATAAAACATAAAAATCAGGCTGCTTCAAGAGAAAAATCAAGTTGATCCATGGTTTCAATGAGAGGAAGTGTTAGATACACTCGCACACACGAAAATAATCCCATGCATAACAAAAGCATGCATGTGATTTTCTACAGTGAAAAAGTTGTATAAAGGCGACTTTATGTCTGTGGTTTTGACTCTGCTAACTGTTGAAGTGCAACATGAAACCACTTTAATACCAGAGCTTTACAGGGTTTCCCTTACATAGGCGTAGCCGCTGAAATCCCACCGCTACGCCTACAACATCCCAAGTTTTTTTTTTTTTTTGCGCTGTTTCCCGAAGAAGCAGCGGGAACTACTATGTTGTCGCTTGTGATCACAGCCGGCGGGCAGCAAGGAGGAGCAGGCAGGGCAGGGTGAAGTTACAGCATAAGTTACTGAGTTTAAAATTAGAAAGGTAGCAGTGGATATAATGCTTTTTGGTTTACATGTTTCAATAGCATTAAGATAAACGAGTGTTGACCATCTTGACAGGGTTTCCTCCCCCCACCAGGCTAAGCATCACTTATTTATGTAAAACTTATTTTTTCATGTCTGACTTTAACCACATCTAATAATGTATTACGGCGTGAGCGCAACAGCGACAACTTAAGATCGATGTGTGAGCAGCCTGAGAGGTCGGGTGTTTCACCTGAACCATTAAAAACCTCCAGCAGGCTACGCTGCACTATTGACGTGTTAGCGCACGGCGCTAACAACTTAGCGACGTGACATGTCTCTGAGAAAGCATAAAAACACGTTGGACGCTTCTTCTGAAGCGGGAAAATAACACCTCTTCTTAAGCAGAGCACGACGTCGCCTCGGCTCGTTCACGACCGAGCCGGACTGAGCTCGATAACTGACCCAGCACAGCCACTGGGTCGTTGGAGCTGCCCCGTGACTGCCTGATGGAAAACCAGCGGGTTTCATCAGACTTGTAAAGTTTCTTGTTTTTGCTGGGGACCCCCTGTATTTTACCGCTCCCTCCTGCAGTCTTCCCCTATTAACATTTAAAATGATTCTGTAAACTCCGTGTATCAATAGAAACAATCTCTGCCTCTGCCAGCTGCAGTAAATGTAGTCTCCAAATAATAAATAAGAGGTGCATTCATCTGTGTATCTCCTTTGACCCACATTAGTGATATTCTCAGCACCAGAACAGTGAAGCAAAGAAAGATTCCTGAGTTTGTTAGTAATTTTATTTATTAGGTGCATCTAACCTGTTCTATTTTTCTCTGAAATGAGATCAAATCAGTGCTTCTATGGGTTGTTATTTAGAGACGCGTCATAATTTCCGGCCCCACCACCACAGCTGGAAAAATTCCTAGGGGAAACACTGCTTTACCCTAATTAGCCTCTGCTGATGTCTCACCAAGCAGGGAGCTACATTTCACGCTGTTGCTACACATCCAGCACTAAAAATGGCTCTGAAGGAACATCCTCTGCTCTCAGCTCATCTGTCAAGAGATGCTTAACTTTTACTGGTGTGAAAAACTAGTTACAATCCTAACTGTGGTAACGAACCACTACCAAAGAAACAATCATTACTATCAAATAAACACAACTATAACCGTGATAAAACTGTAATTACTCAGGAAATATTAAATATAATGCATTAAATACAGGTTACAGGTTTGTTTGTTTGTTAAAACTTAAATGTATATTTATCCTAGGGCTAGAAAATGTAGGTTACAAGTGGGCCCTTTACTTTAAACAGCCATCATAATATAAAGATCCCAAATTTAAAGGTAAGCAAACCTCCACTATAAAGAGCAAGTCACCCCTATCAGATTCTTACTCAACTCCCACTAGCAGACCGAAAGGACAGAGCCGCTAACAAACACACACAGGCTCACAACGACATTGTGACATCATATGGTACCAGCTAATAATCTAGGGTACCTCTTAGCCAATAGCGATGGCAGATTTAAATTCAAATGCAGTGCAGAGTTTTTACCTGACAACGGCACAACACTGACAGTTTTAGGCAGAGAATTAAAATTTTAACTAGAATGCACTAAAGTGCAAAACTATTGACTACACGTGTCTGCAGCACAATTAGACACGCATTTATACAGTTTATCAGAAAAAAAATGTTGATTTGAGGTGACTTGCTCTTTAAGGAAAAGATTTTTAATACGCTACTTTCTGAATTGAGAAAGGACTGTAATTAGGGCCATTGGTTACAGAAGAGCTTTTCCACCACCAAGCTAATCATTTACAGCTGACAACAAATGAAGTTTTGTTTGAGCACAACAAGCTTGAATCTCGTTGCATGAATGCCACAAAATAAAAAGTAAACTTCTAAACACTGAACATGCAACACGTCAGCTCCTGGATTCTTTGGGTTTTCTCACTCCGTGCATCCGGGTTATTGTTTATCTAGTAGCGGGAGAGGTCAGCCAGGTGACAGCTGATAGGTGTTAACACACAGCAGGAATTAGGGTACCTGGGGTTTCAAATTGGATGGTGGATGTGCTGGTCCAAAAAGCCATTGGGTTATCTTTGAAAAGCCTAAAATCCAGCCCTGAAGGATGATGGTTGTTGAGTGAAGAAAGACTAATTACGAGGTTGGTATAATCAGAAAACAATGCCAATGACGCTCAAATGTTACTATTAATCTGTCCCGACCAACACAGGATTTTTAATCCTGCCTGTTCATTACAAACCAGATGTTTTCTTTATGCAGCACATTTATTTGAATACATGAGAAGGAAATGGGTGATTTAATAGCAAATTGATGATGAGTCGGTACCAAATAAGGTGATCAAAGATGCAAATGGAACAAAACGAACAATAAAATGAACAAAATGATTTTGAGTTTCATACTCACTCAACATTCAGAACATGTACGAACTTTTACTTTTACCTGTGTGCATGCTGAATGCAGGAGCAGCAGTCGCCAGCGTCACTGGACTTCCAGACTCTGTCGTCTTCAAACCAGATGTGGATGCCTGAGTTTCTGGTAGAGTTTTATGAGTGCCAAAGATCTTCTGAAGGCTATCAGTGCCAAACACAAACTTAGGGGGAGACACCACAGTCTTCGTGGGATTGACTGGACTCTGAGATCCAGCTGCACTCATCTTGTCCAGAGGAGGTTCTGTGCATTCCCGCGTTGTCTCTTCTAAAAGAGCGATGGCTGCCTTCCCACAAACGGCCACAGCTGTGCTTTCGGATGCTGCTGCTCCACTATCCTGTGGTGCTGCAACTCGTATTGTCACAGGAGTCAGGAGTTCTCCTTTGTCTTGTGCCACTTTGGCCTCCTCAAAGACCTGTTTAAATGAATTAGCAGTTTCCTGGAGCTTGAATCTTACAGCCAGCTGCTCCATTTTACCTCCTCCTTCCTCAGCAAAGTCCAAAGCACTCCAGACCCAGGCCTTCTCAGCCCCCTTCATGGGCTCCAGCCTCATCACGGTTGTGATCCTGTGGTTGGCACAGATCTTGAGTACTTGGTCTCTCCTCATTATCAGCCTGACTCGCTTGGTATCGTAATTCTGTAGGATCTTCAGGTCTCCAATGCCTCTCTCTTTCCAGTGTTTCGCTTCTTTGTCATAGCGGTACAGTTTGGCTCTGTAGCTGAAGACCACCTGCTCGTTTTCCTCTCCTGTTGAGAGCTCTACTAAATCGGGCAAAGGAACCACAGGTTCAAAATACTGGCCATCCCGTTCTTCATCCTGGGTCACATCTTGCTCCTCATCTGTGCCCACCGAGGCTCTGCTCTGATTAAGCTTTGCCGGAGACTTAGAGGGGCTAATTCCAGGCTGGAAACTAAAGCTGAACCCACTGGTGGATTCCCCAAACCGGAAAAGGTTCTTCCTCAGAGGGCTGCTGGCAATGGGGGACGCATAGGCAAATGAGTCGGCAGTATTGTCTAAAGCTTCTTCTCTTAGGTCGTAGTTATCCCACTCCAAGGTTGGGCCGGTGAGATCCCCACGAGGTTTGATTACGAGACTTGAAACTTCCCCTGGGGCAGTGGCATCTTCCTGGATGTCGTCATCTTTTATCTTTGTCTTCTCATCGGTCAAAAAGAATTTCAGGTCTTTCAAACCGGACTTCATTTCCTCTGCTTTCTTGATCAGATGTGCTGTTCTGCCGGTGTCGACCAGCTTGTGGGGGGTTTGCAGGGGTATGTCTAAGAGAAGCCTCTGACATTCTTCAAACTTATGCTTAAAATCTTCAGCAAGCTCTGTGGTCTTAAATTTAACAGCCAGCTGCTCAAGCTTAGCATCTCCATCAGAGAAGTCATTGGCCATCCAAATCCATGCTTTGTCTGACCCGGCCAGTGGCTTAAGATTCATGGTGGTGGTGATCCAGTGGTTTGCACACACCTTCAGAACTTGTTCTCTTCTCATTAGCACCCTTAGCCGACCATTGGAATTGTTTTTTAATAACTTGAGGGTTCCCACACCACGTTCTTTCCACTGACTGATGGCAGGGTCAAATCGGAACAATTTGACACGCTGAGAGTACAGAACCTGCTCATCTTCCTCACCCGTTACCAGGTCCACTTTCTCAGGCATCTGGACAACTGGCTCAAACTGGATATCATCATGTTCCTCTGTTTTGTACATGCCATCATCTTCCTGCTCAGTTGAGGTTTCTGCTTTGGTGGGGCTTGTCTGGAATGATGAAAAAACCTGGTTCCCGGCTCCAGAAAAGCCTTTGAAATCCGGATCTTTCTGACTAAACTGAAAGTTTCCTCCAGAAGATTTAGCCAAGTCTGCAAAACTGAAAGCGTTTGCTTTCCCACAAATTAACGGATTCTGATCATCTTCTGATTGGGTCACAGAGGGTGTGGACACATTTTCTTTTTCCTTGTGCTTGTCAGCAATGCTTTTAAGGACACTGGAAGCCGACCCTGTTTGATTATCAGATGAGGCTGAAACTTTTGCAGAATCCTGAATGCCAAACTTGAAGCCACCAGCTGAAGCAGGCATGGAGAAAGAGAAGCCTGTAGAACTTGTGGTAGTAGGTACAGACTGAGGGGCTTTGAACTTAAATGAAGTAGCAGAGTTTTTGTCTTTATTTTGACCAAACTGAAAAGTGTTGCCACTTCCAAAAGGCATCGTGAAAGCAGTTTCAGCAGGTTGGCTTGATGAGCTCTTGTTTCCAAAGGTAAAACTGAAGTTAGAGGCTGCTGGAGCAGAGCTACTTGGACTTTTAGCATTAGGGTTTGGAGCCTGACAGGCCTGACACTTACTGGTAGAGGCATCATTTCTCACAAGACAAGTGTCACAATCCCATTCTCCTTCCTTCCTGGCAAAGATGGTCGCTAGGGAAGGATTTTCATGTGGAGTACGACAAGAAACACATTCGGTTGCTGACGCTTCATTTCTGACCAGACAGGCATTGCAATGCCACTGCCCGTTTTTCTTAGCAAAATCAGACCCAAGTGCTGATGTTGCAGCAGGGTTTGGACTTTGACAAGCAGCGCATTTGTCAGCTGATGCTTCATTTCGCACTTCACACACAGCACAGTCCCATTGTCCAGACTTCTTACTAAACTGTGCAAATCCAGAGTCTGAGACAGCCACAGAGGGCTGTGCAGCAGGTGCATCTGCAGCAGGTGTTGTTTGCGCCATCACAGATGTGATGGCATGTGACAGCATGTGCAGAGCTGCAGTTTTAGGAGCCTTACAAGAAACGCAGCACTCTGCAGAGACCTCATTCTTTGAAGAACACTTGTTACAGTCCCATTGTCCAGACTCCTTACTAAACTGTGCAAAACCAGAGTCTTTCACATCTGCATCAACAGCAGGTGTGGTTTGGACCATCACAGATGTTGGAGCTACAATTTTAGGAGCCTTACAAGAAATACAGCTCTCTACAGAGGCCTCGTTCTTTGTGGAGCACTTCTTACAGTCCCATTGTGACCCAAATCCAAAGGTAAATGCACTGGCTTTTGTGTTGGCAGACTTTGAGGAGCTGGTGCCAAATGTAAAAGAGGATGGTATAGAAGCTCCAAAAGCACCAAATCCAGAGAATGTGGAACCTGAGCTGCTGGGATTTGATGCATCAGTACCAAATTTGAAAGTAAATTGAGTCCCTTTGGTTTCCCCAGAAGGCTGCATTTCTGGTTTTGATGATGATTGTGGATTGGCATGTTGGCACGCCAAACACCGCACATCTGTTGGCTTATTTCTCACACAGCACACAGGACACTCCCAATCCCCTTCTTTAAGTGCAAACCGAGCTGCCAGCGAGTCTTTTAAATTTCCCTCTTTTTTCTTCTGCTGAGTTTTCTTTTCTGCTGGTTTGAGTAAAACTTTCTGAGCTTCCTCAAACTTAGCTTTGAAGAGGGCTGCCTCATCTACCGTTTTGAAGCGAATGGCCAGTTGTTCCGGTTTTGGCTCTTCATCTGCATAATCGATGGCGTTCCACACCCAGGATTTGTCAGAACCAGCGTTTGGTTTCAGCAGCATGTCAGCAGTGATGTAGTGGTTTGCACAGATCTTAAGAACTTGCTCTCTTCTCATCAAGAGGCGGACCTTTCCTTTTGTGCTGTGTTTTAGGATTTTAACATTGCCTATGCCTCGTTCTTTCCACTCTTTTGTCTCCGTGTCAAAACGATACAATTTCGCCCTGTTGCAAAACATTTCCTCTTCCTCTTCTTCACCTGTTTTTACATCTACCTTATCAGGCAAAGGAACAATTGGCTCAAAATGGGGACCATCCTCATCTTCTTCAGCATGAGCACTATCATTGTCGCTCTCTATTGCTTTTTCCAGCTCTGTTGTCTTGGCAGCAACAAAAACTGACTTGGTAACTTCAATAAACTTAAATGGCTGCTCCGCTTTCCCAAAAAGACTTCCAGCTTTCTGTGTAGGATCAACAAATGAGAAGCCGGCCACGTTTTTATTTCCAAAGGTGAAGATTCCTGTTTGGCTGGAGGGCTGCTCCTGGGCTGGAGACTTTTCTGGATCAGCATCCGTTTTCGTAGGAATGTCCGATGTGAGGAGACCAAGCAAACTTTCACTGTGCTTGGCTTGAGAAGATGAGAAAGTGAAATCTCCATCATTAGATTTAAAGTTGGAATTGAATTTGAAAGCAGTTGAGGGTGCTGACTGGGCAACTGCTCCCGTACCAAAGTTTGGCACTCTGGGGACTTCAGCAGGAGCATTTTGGTTGAAGGCAAGTTTCCCGAAGTCCACAGGCTTCCCCTCAACACTCTTTGGTGGTTGAACAGGGACTACAGATGGCTTGGTGAAGTAGCCGGGTTCAGGTAGAGAAGGATTGGTGGATTGATGGGTCACACCTTGGCTATAGTATTCTTCACCATATGGGGAGAGAAGGTTTGTGGCTGGTGATTCAAACCGGAGAGGGGCACCAAATACTTGTTCCTGCGGAGGGTAGATGCACGTTGGGGCTGTCTGGAGGGAAGGTGTATGAGTGGGCTGCTGGTAGGCATACATATGCTGCTGTGGGGGCATACGGTTCACACCATACATTGGGCCCTGGGTAAACAAAACATTAAAAAATAATCTTTTAACATCTTGTGCAAATATATTTTTGTAATCCAACAATTGGAGACAATAATTACCTTGGTTGGAGTCACATTTGCTGCTGTGCGCAAAAGATACTGAGAGTTATAAGCTGGAGACTGGTTGTAATACAGAGAGGATCCTGAGGTGGCAACTTCAAAAGGAGGAACAAGACAGATCAATAAAACGATGGAAATGTGCATTCGAAAGTCATTTAGAGCTCTGTAGAACACAGACCTGTCAGGGGCGCTCCGTGGTAGGACTGTACAGGAGTAAAAGGCTCATTCAGGCCTTCTGCCCTGTAGCCATCACTGTAGACCTTATGTGGAGAGCCTGCATTCACTGAGGCGTTGTGTTTCAGATCATGAACCTCGTTCTGCAAAACAGAGACGTGGTGATTAAAACAAAACCGTTATTTAGATCTCATTTAGGTTTAAAAGCCTCTTCATAAAAGGAAAACCACTCCCCAGTTGCACATCTGAAATGGGTTCAAAAGTCCTGTTACTGCTGTACATCACAGAACGGTGAGATCTGAATAACTAAAACAACTCCTCTCTAACTCTGACCTTGAGGGCTTCGACTTGCTGACACAGCATCTGAAGGAGACTTTTGTGGTCCTCAACCCAATGAGGTGGTGTCTTGGGTGAAATCTGCAAAATGTAATAAATTATAGAAATGCACAGATTTGTGGTTTATCATATAACGAGTGATTTGGACTCACCAGTCGTTTGGAGGGAGAAAGAATGCTTTTGTTTGGAGAGGGAGATGAAAACTTGATGTGTGAGATGGCTGCACTGGTTTCTGTGGGATGAGCAGGGCTGGAGTGAACTGGTCCTCTTTGACACATCATCTCCTTCTTGTCCTCTTCCTCCATGTCCTCCACAGTCTCGCCGAGCTGCTGGTTTACATCGTTTAGGAGGTCCACCACCTCCTCCATGGACACAGGAAGCTGCAATACAAACAAAAAAAAAAACACTAAGGCTACTGATTTTCAGCTAACAAGTAAAAACTGTGGAGAAAAATGTACAAAAAAAAAAAAAAAAAAAAAAGTCAAGTAATCTGGGACTAACCCTATCAATGTCATCTGCATTTCCGTTGTAGATCTTCAACAAATACATCCTGAACTTTCTCAAAAAAGTTATGCATCTGTCTTGGGTCTCCTCCACACCATTGGTGGCCTCTTCTGAAAGTCGCTGGTAGATCTGAAAAGCAAAAATTAAATTAAATAAATAAATAAACAAAACAAGCTAAATTAAAGCTGCAAGCAGCGTCGTTCGGCCCTCGCAGCTCCGGCCTGGCCGGCAGTCTGGTGCACCCGGGCACATCTACTGAACATAAACATCGACCACACCGACACCAGAAACCGCGAACGGTCTCCTCGTCTGCATCTCACCCTGGCTCAGCATCTTCTCTGAGCCCACCGTTAAATTACACATCTAACCACTAGGGGATACTCTATCTTTACCACAATGGTGGTGTAATGACACAGACCAAGTGTAATGCTATTCTGACCATGTTTTTTGAAGTCACTGAAGGTTAACGTTATCTAGGGGTGCTGTGACCAACTACAGAAAAATCCCATTGAGGTCAGCTTTGGTTGACAAAGATGGTTTTCTGTTATTTTGGCATCAATCAGACGTTGTGTGTTATCTAGAGCCAGAAAGCCGAAAGGGGGTGGAGCTACAGGGGTTTGAACCAACAACATCAATGTGTTTGGTGCAGTCATATGATGACACAAGCCAAGTTTAATCCCATTCTGACCTTGTATTAGGAAGTAATTAACTCTTAATCTTATCTAGGGGGCGCTGTGACCAATTACATAAAAATCCCATAGAGGTCCTCTTAGGGAGTCAAAGATGGTTTTGTGGTAGTTTGGCATCAATCAGATGTTGCAGGTGCTTTCTAGAGAGAAAGAGCTGAAAGGGGGTGGAGTTAAAGGGATTTGAACCAACAACCACATCAATGTGTTTGGTGCAGTCACGTGATGACACAAGCCAAGTATAATGCCATTCTGACCTTGTCTTTAGAATTTAATAAAGTTTGAACCCATCTAGGGGGCGCTGTGACCATTTACAACTAAATCTCATAGAGGTCATCTTTGGTCATCAAAGATGGTTTCCTGTTAATTTGGCATCAATCAAACATTGCATGGGTCATCTAGAGCCAAAAGGCTGTAAGTGGGCGGAGTTAAAGTGATTTGAACAAGTGAGCACATACATGGGTTGATTGCAGTTGTGTGATGACTCTCACCAAGTTTGATATAGTTTGGAGCTTTTTTGCAGAAGTTACAAATGTTTTATTGAATCTAGGGGGCGCTGTCCTACATTTAGGAAAATATCCCATGGAGCAGTTTGTAGGTTGACAACAATCATTTGTGTGCAGTTTGGTGTGAATTGCATCATGCATGTGTTATTCAGGGCCTAATATATGTCAGGGGCGGAGCTAAAGCGACAGCACCAACTTACCCCAGGATTGTGGTGGGTGCCTTTGTATGAGTACACATAGCAAGTTTGGTGCAGTTACGACCTCGTCTGTATGAGTTATTACAGATTTTAAAGGTGTGTAGGGGGTGCTATGGTGATATTATACAACGTTCACCAACCGTTTGTGCCTCATTGGCTAAAGGGCATGATTGTTGATTGCCATGTCCAGTCTCGTGCAGATCAGAGGCTGTTTGCGGAAGTTACAGTCAAACGTAAGGTCACGGCGTCACGCCAGAATTCGCCATGGCATCAAAGCCCCTCTCTTTCTGGAAAGCTATCAGAACTGAATGGTCATTACAACATCATGAAGACAGTACATGACCTTAGTGTCATGTTGACTAAATTAGAGGGGACAAATATGGGCATTTCATTAAAAAAAAAAACAATTGACTTCCTGTTGTCAGGGGGTGGGGCTTAAGTGATGTCAGCTGTCCACATTGTGATTGTCTTGAGATGTGGTCAGTGATCACACAGACAAAGTTGATATAGATCTGATCATGCACATGGGAGTTATTACGTCAAGTAATGTAATGGCAAAAGGCCAAAGTTTGAGGCTAAGCCACGCCCACACCTTTCAACTTTTGAAAAATCCGATGGTTTAATGTTTCCCCCTATGTCTTAAGAGTATATGGCAGAAGTTTGAAGGAGATTGGTGTAAAGGGCGATGGGGCATCACTCTCCAAACTACGTGTGCGAAAACCACAAAATGGAGTACTTGGACCAAAATGGCCGACCTCCTGTGCAACTTTGCACTTGGCTCCAAGAGACTTTTTTGTAGGTCCTGAGACACTTCATTAGTGTACCAAATTCCGTAATCCTCAGTCAAAGCATGGCTTGAGGATGACAGTTGGTCCTAGGGGGCGCTATTTCAGAAAATAGGCCACGCCCACAAACCTATCACGTCCATTTCTATTGGTGGTCAGACTAGGATCACTCACCAGAGAATTTGTAGCAGTATCACGATAACTGAGGAAACGAGAGGCAAACGTATTTCCATGGCGTGATGGCGAATTTCGCCATGCTCCCAAAGCCCCGCCTTTTTTTAAAACCTGCCAGTACTGGAGACCAAGTGACTTCAACTTGTCTGCTGCTATTTGCCAGAGAATGCTGGTGATTGGGCAAAAGGAGTCCAATAGGGAGCTGTGAAAAAAAGAGTGGCGTGGCAACAGGTCAAAGTTTGAGGCTTAGCCACGCCCATACATTTCAAATTTTAAAAAATCCGACGGTTGAATTTTTTACCCTATGTCTTAAGAGTCTATAGCAGAAGTTTGAAGGCGATCGATGACAAGGGCGACGGGGCATCATTCTCCAAACAACATGTGCAAAAACCACTAAATTGAGTACTTGGACCAAAATGGCTGACTTCCTGTGCGACTTTGCACTTGGCTCCAAGAGACTTTTTTGTAGGTCCTGAGACACCACATTAGTGTACCAAATTTCGTAATCCTCAGTCAAAGCATGGCTTGGGGCTGACAATTTTAATGGTCCTAAGGGGCGCTATTTAAGAAAATAGGCCACGCCCACCGGATCTTCACATCAGATTTTTTGGGGGGCTGGACTAGGATCACTCACCAGACGTTTTGTGGCGATATCTTTAGAAAAGGCAAAATGGGAGGCAAACGTATGGCCGGTACACCTGACTTTGCCGTGCCGCCACAGCCCCGCAACTCCATAAAGTGACGCCAAGAAACACCCACTTGTCTTGAGTTACCAGCTACAAATTTGTGATGATTAAGTGAAATGGGGCGATTTGGGACCTATCACAGTAAAACTTGACCTTTTTGGTCCAGAGGGGGAGGGGCTTGTGTGATATCATCATCCGACCATTCAATTTAGTTTGTGGCTGGAGGTCGAATGACCACAGAAATTTTTGTAACTCTATTCAAGTATGAAGTTATAACCATTTATATATTTTTGGCGAGTGGTCGAAGTTCGAGGCCTGGCCACGCCCCCTCAGCATATACAAAAAGTCAGTTTTATTTTTTCTATTTGATTGCCCATCCCTTTTGAGCAATTTCCCACAACTTTCGAGACGATCGTGCGAAAAATGATCGAGTAAATCAATCAGAAGCGGACCCTAGAAACGGCCAAAACGGGGTCAAAATCACCACTTCAAACTAAAATGGCCGACTTCCTGTTTGACGTTGACCATGGTTGCAAGAGGCTTTTCTGTGCAGACTGTTGAGTACTACAAGTGTACAAAACTTCATAACTGTACAACAAATTAAGCTTTATGGAGGGGGATATTTTTCACATTCTAGGGGGCGCTGTGGAGCTAGTTTTATTGCTATTTTTTTGGGACCTTTAAAATACAAAATTTTACACCACGCCTGACGTGTGCAAAAATTCCTGAGTTTTCAGGTATGTTAAGGCCTCTAAAAAGCCAATTTACTTGGCGGAAGACAAATAAACAGAGCAGACACAATAGGCCTTCGCAGCACTTTTGCTGCTCGGGCCTAATAAAAGAAGAAGCAATGTTTTTCAGGCTCTCCATCGGGATTCTCCTCTTGAGATAAGCTGTTTTCTACCTTTGGCCTCTTCATGTTTGCTCGTTTAAAAACAAAATCACTCAAATTCCTGAACTTCAAACAAACAGTGGTTGCCTCATAAACACACAGAGCTCATTCACTAATCTAGTCAATCCTCTCATTCCGACAGAACCAATGCAGATTAGAGATGTTCAGATTGGTGACAAGAGGATCTTAACCTGGTCAGAATTTACCTGTGCCAAATGCCAGGCAGATGAAAGGTTATTGATGCTTTCCAAGGTTGAAATAGCCTCCTCTGTTCTGCCTTCAATGTCCAGATAAACAGCATGTGCTATTGTGGCTTCTTCTTCTAAACCTTTCACAGCAGAAATCTGAAAAAGAACAAAAACACACTTGTATAGTTTGAAGGGGGACACGAAAGGTTTCCAAATTAAAACTTGAGAACTAAATTAACCAGAATATCCTTGGAGTGAAAATGCAAAAAGAGGGGGTCAAGGGGCTCCGGGATGCTCCTTCTGTTTCTAATTTTCTCCAAAATTGGCAGAACAACCCTCCAGTAGTGGATGCTGCGGCCGATGTACTCCTTCTGGTCATAGTACGAGTTCATTCCATCCCCCTGCGATGGTGAACACAAACACTTAAGATTTTGTAAAGAAGGTGAGTTTCTCTTATTACCTTATAAAACCCGTTAGTCACAAACCATCTAAACAAGACCCAAACAAGCAGCAGTTGTGAGTATTCTGATGTTTTACACTTAACCCCGCTGAGTAGACGGAGCAGGTGTGAAGGCACGAGTGTCTGGCAGGCTTCCCGGCTGGCTGCAGCCAGTCTGGCTAGAGGAAGTGGAAGCTCTGGGAGAGCACTCGACCACTGAGAATGCAATTCTTGTGCAATACTGGATTTACATATTAAGTCTGTGCTGCATAGGGTTAGTGTATACACATGTACCTTTGTTACTATTTTCTTAAGTGTTGGTGCTGCTGTAACAAGTGAAGTTCCCCACAGAGGGATCAAAAACGTCTATTCTAAATTCTGTAAGAGACATTGCTCTTTATTTTGATGAAGAGCACACTAGGGTTGTCACGGTGTGAAAATTTAACCTCACGGTTATTGTGACCAAAATTATCACGGTTTTCTTTATTATCGCGGTATTTTTTTTAACGTGTTACATTTTCAGACAACTACATAAACCCTGTATGTCAGGAAATATTGTCCTCAGTTTGTGTCTAAATTTGGCCTAAAATTTCTTATTTTGTAATTATGTTGTTTATTTGTTTACATTTTTCCCCTTTAGTCTTTAAAACACCCATAACTTCTTATTTTGTCTGTTTGATGTCATCATTTAAAAATATTAGATCAGATGATACTCAGTACTCAAGTAGCCTTCTAATCAGATACTTTTTTTACCCTTACTTGAGTAATAAACCCAATATCAGGAAAATATTGTCCTCGGTTTGTGTCCTTCCAGTGAGCTTTGCAGATGTGGGAAAATGTCATCAGGCAGTAATCATTGTTAAATTCATAATTATTCTCGGAGAGAGACCAACTCTTATCTGCCCCTGGGAGCCCCGTAATGCATAGCGTCATTTCAACATGGGGGTGTCCGCGACACGGTTTATATGCAGGTAGCGGCGCTGCGGCTGCTTTATATAGCGACTCGTTGCATTCTCCCTCAACCCAAATCCTCGGATCACGCATTTTAGCTAAAACGCTAACGTTAGCTTGCCTTGCGTTGACTATAGAGTTGTGGGTGATGGTCACGCAGATGTGTCATGAGATTTGAAGCGTTGCTGCCTTTCACAGACACTTTTTCTGCACGTGCTGCAAACAGGATAGCCGTCTTCTATCAACTGTCCCTCGGCATTCTTCAAATATCCAAAAGATGCCCGTACTTCCCACTTTGTCTTCTTTGAGGGATAATAAATGTCCTGAGCACTGCCGTCTCCTCCTCTGGCCATTATTTCAGCTTTAGCTTCAAGAAAGTTTTGGTCGTAAACAACAAAGTGCGCATGTGCCGCCGGCAACTTCAGCAGATGATACGGTGGCTGGTAAGGGTCACTGCACCTACACCACAGCCACGGTAATCCACGAAAATTTATTTATTTATTTTTAAAACAAGACAGTTATTATTAATGTCAACTTTTTTACCGGGGTGTTACCGCTACACCGGTTACCGTGACAACCCTAGAGCTCAGATATTCAGACAAACTAATAATAATTTCTATTGATAAAAACAAAACAAACAAAAAGATGGTATCTGCATCACTGCTGGTAATGTTTGAAGGAATCTCCCTAAGCTTCAGACCTTATGCAGTGGTGCATGTGTTTGAACCTACCGTCTGACTGAGAGTCCGAGCCCAATGGATGACAAGTGCTGGTTGTAGCCCATGTTTCTCTCCAGCCCTCAGAATATTCAGTCCATGCTGTACAATCATCCGCAGCTTTGCTGAGGTGCCTGGACTGCGAGAGGAGTAGAATGAAAAGTTTTGAGGAGTCGACGTGATTAAAGAAAAGAGAACAAGCATGATATTTATGAGCAGCGTTGTCATGACGACTTTCAAACATGCAGGGTTTCCCCCCCGCGCTTTAAAGCCTGGCATCCCGCCAGGCTAAGCGTCATGCCCCGCCCTCCTCCCTGACCCTACCGTGTCCGCTGACACGAACGCGCAACAGCGGAACGTGTGCAACCCCCCCACCCCGCTCTCACGGAGGAGCACTGCGGGACGGAGCGCGCGACCACCGAATCCGCATTTTCTGGAGAAACCCTGAACATGAATGCAAGACCTAAAGACAAATTAGGATGTCAGTGGTTTCAGTGTTTCCCCTAGGAATTTTTCCAGCTGTGGTGGTGGTTGGGGGGGGGGACATGTCTCACCTTTATAATAATAATAATAATAATAATAAAGCATTGAACTTATATAGCGCTTTTCAAGACCCCCAATTTAATTTTTGTTGCCGTCTAAAAGAACATCTCCTTCTGCCCTCTTTATTTTGGTCCAAGACCATTACTGGGCTGGCCCTGTTAAACACGTTCTACACCCCTGCTTAGTAGACTTAATGAAGTATTTTTAAGCCAGTATAAAAATGACTGAAACGCATACTTACGTATTTGGCATTATTGACCAGTATCTTTGATTTAATTTATTTGTTAAGAACATCAAGATGCATTACAGTGAACATTATAATAAAGTACATGTTTCTAGTGCAGAGTGGAGCCAACCCATAGAAGCACTGATTTGATCTCATTTCAGAGAAAAATAGAACAGGTCAGATGCACCTAATAAATAAATAAACTGAGCTCCTGGCTGCAGTTTTGTGTGTAGGGAGGGGCGGACGCTCTATGTGACTGACCAATCACAGAGCGTGAAGACAGTCAGTTACCCATTGAGGATTTTCCTTCAGCACGATTACAGATATTTAGGAGTTTTACTCGTTTCATGCTCGTATTTGTCAAAAATGCTTTATCCGTACCGGATACTCGTCTGAAATGAGTATCCGGCTCATTTCTAGCTGTAACCACCCTGCCCTGCCTCCTCCTGCTTGCTGCCTGCCGGCTGTGATCACAAGCAACAACAGAGTAGTTACTGCTGCTTCTTCGGGAAACGGCGCAAAAATAAATAAATAAATCAATAAAATCAATAAAACTTTGGATCTTTTAGGCGTGCCAGTGGGATTTCAGCCGTGGCGGCTACGCCTATGTAAGGGAAACACTGGGTTTAAGCGGCTCCACGTTGTGCAGCACTTTGATCACAACGAGGTTAAAAAGCTTCAGTGAAATGCTGGAAAGATCTCACCCACATTGGAAGACAGAGGCTAAAATGATCCAGCGGGTGGACATTTCTGCATGGGGGCTGGAAGGTTTTGTGGATAAAAGAAATCTGCAATTGACTTAAAATGTAGTAATACTGTAAAAACAGCTGAAATCTCCTAGTGACAATTCCATTTTCCTGAGGTTGTTTTTAACTAGCGAGCCAGAAAAACGTCCCTTTGAGCAGAAAATAAATCAGTATTTAAAAAAAAGACAGAGTAAGAAAAGCTGACCAACAGCATGTTTTTGTTCCTTGTTGGTTTTAGTATTCTGACACTCACTTGGCTCTTTTGTGAATGAGGCTGTAGATGGCATCCCACCACTCCCTCTGTCTGTCGGTGCTCAGGAGACGAAGGAGGGGAAGAGGGAGGCAGCGCGGCTCGAAGAGCTGCTTCTGCTGTTGTGGACTCGTCCCACTGCTGATCTTTGCCGTTTCCTGAAGCTGACAGTTGCTGCAGAACACCACTCCGTATAAAAACACCTGCACAGACGAAACAAAACACAGGACCGCTTATTTTTACTAAAAGGAGAAAAGATAAACTTTAAAGTGATGACTTCATTTCCAGAGTAAAAGTGTTTGTGTCAGCCAGAACCGCTTATAAAATAAATCTACAAAATTAATTCAGTTGATGTTTTATTCATTAAGGAGACACGTGTACAACTCTGGACTCAGCCTTACACTCAAATCCATCTTTTACTTTATTTCACAGCCAACTTACCTCAAGATCCAGCAGGCAGATGGACTCTGGTGCGTTGGTGTCTAGCTTTGATGTTTCCAGAGTAAGTCTTGGGAAAAGCTGCTGTAGCCAGTCCCTCATCAGCGGCCTTTGGCCCAAAAGAGTCCACTGCAGCCCCAACCAGCTAAGATGCTGCAGTTCTCCACTGTGCAACAAGATGGAGGCTGCAGAAGATACAAACACATTATTATTGTAATAACAGAAAAACACTTTTCAGTACTTTAAGCTAGATTATCCATTTCGTACCAGCGTCCCACTTGGCCAGTTGGGAGAGCTCTGGAGCCAAAGCACAGACAGAGTGAATGTCATCATTGGCTATAAAAGAGGAAGTGATGGAGGCTTGCGGACCCCAGAGGAGTTCAAACAGAGACTCCTGACCACTGCGATTCCCAAAGGTCTCCACCACCTACACAGAATCAACATTTGTTATGTCCGTAAGGCTGAAACAGGACATTAGAATGAGGTTAAAAAGAGCTGACCTCTCTGATTAGAGCAGATAAATCAGTGCCCAGATTAAACAACATGTGCCCAGCCTGACTCTGTCGGTCACTGGCCAGTAGCTCCAGAAGCTGCGGCGCTGATGGATCTCTTTTGGTCATTTTTGGCTTTGGTCTGGGAACCTGGTGGCAAAACAAAACAAAATACAATAAATGCTAAAGGGAGCTTCAGTTAACCAGATAAATTCTACTTTTATTTCATGTTTACATCAAATAAAAGGCACTGTAATATTCTGAGTAGTTATCTTGTGTGTGCTTCATGGTAGAACAGCCATTGTCAAACAAAGGAAAGCGCTGACTATTAAACTGACACAAACAGGCTTGTACCAGTCCTGCAAAAACTAAATCAAACCTGAAGCAAAAGCATCAGATTGTTCCACATAAATCTAAGAGACTGCACCATCTATATGTACCGTATTTTCCGGACTATAAGCCGCTACTTTTTTACCCCGCTTTGAACCATGCAGAGTATAATGAGGTGTGGCTTTAGTCAACCAGAAAGGATGGATGCTGGAAAGTCTAATGAAGGAATGGTTAAAGGAGCGCTACGGAAAGCGCCCAGGAGGATTTCTTTCACAGTAAAATGGCGCTGCTTGTTTTTCCAGCTTCACCCGGGGATGATGACAGCAACACGGAGAGCAACACTGACATCGCCACAGAAAAGGTATGCGACGAAGCTCTTCTGAGGCTGTTCAACTCTGACACTGAAGAAAATGACTTCAGTGGTTTCAGAGTGCAGGAGGACGATGAATAAACTAATCAATAACTTTTCTGTTTTGTTTGATACTGATCAGTTCAGTTACGTTCAGTTAAACTACGTTTTCAATTCAGTAGATATCTGCGGCTTTTAGCCCGGTGCAGCTTATATTGAGGTGCGCTCTATAGTCCAGAAATTACAGTATGTTAGCACTAGGGTTGTCACGGTGTGAAAATTTAACCTCACGGTTATTGTGACCAAAATTATCACGGTTTTCGGTATTATCGCGGTATTTTTTTTTTACGTGTTACATTTTCAGACAACTACATAAACCCTGTATGTCAGGAAATATTGTCCTCAGTTTGTGTCTAAATCTTGCCTAAAATGTGTTATTTTGTAATTATGTTGTTTATTTGTTTACATGTTTCCCCTTTAGTCTTTAAAATACCAATATTTGCCCATAACTTCTTATTTTATGTCTGTTTGATGTCATCATTTTTAAAATATTAGATCAGATGATACTCAGTACTCAAGTAGCCTTCTAATCAGATACTTTTTTTACCCTTACTTGAGTAATAAACCCAATATCAGGAAAATATTGTCCTCGGTTTGTGTCCTTCCAGTGAGCTTTGCAGATGTGGGAAAATGTCATCAGGCAGTAATCATTGTTAAATTCATAATTATTCTCGGAGAGAGACCAACTCTTATCTGCCCCTGGGAGCCCCGTAATGCATAGCGTCATTTCAACATGGGGGTGTCCGCGACACGGTTTATATGCAGGTAGCGGCGCTGCGGCTGCTTTATGTAGCGACTCGTTGCATTCTCCCTCAACCCAAATCCTCGGATCACGCATTTTAGCTAAAACGCTAACGTTAGCTTGCCTTGCGTTGACTGTAGAGTTGTGGGTGACGGTCACGCAGATGTGTCATGAGATTTGAAGCGTTGCTGCCTTTCACAGACACTTTTTCTGCACGTGCTGCAAACAGGATAGCCGTCTTCTATCAACTGTCCCTCGGCATTCTTCAAATATCCAAAAGATGCCCGTACTTCCCACTTTGTCTTCTATGAGGGATAATAAATGTCCTGAGCACTGCCGTCTCCTCCTCTGGCCATTATTTCAGCTTTAGCTTCAAGAAAGTTTTGGTCGTAAACAACAAAGTGCGCATGTGCCGCCGGCAACTTCAGCAGATGATACGGTGGCTGGTAAGGGTCACCGCGCCTACACCACAGCCACGGTAATCCACCGAGATAATATAGTTTTTTTTTTTTTAAAAAACAAGACGGTTATTATTGTCAACTTTTTTTACCGGGGTTTACCGCTACACCGGTTACCGTGACAACTCTAGTTTGCACCAACACAGACACCACAGGAAGTACCTGACAAGCTAGCAGGTAGCACAGCACCACCAGGTCAACAACAGCCCTCCAGGTTTGTTGGCGGTCCTGCACCAGTTTCAACAGCAATGTTGCGGCATGCAGGTACAGGTGACCTTTCATCTCCACAAACACCTCAGAAAGTTCATCTGCATGGCGACTGGCAATGCTGCTCAGCTCTTGCATTGCTTGGTCAAAACTGCAAAACAAAAAGAATGAGTGCAGTGATCAAAATCATATTAAATGCATGCAAATACAGAATATACTAAACTGAACAGTTTCTCACGATATACAGACTGTCTAGAACCTGACCTACCCCCTGAATGCCTCCAGGCTCGGCTGCACTCCGCTTCCAGACAGTGTAATCCTCAGCAGGCTGCAGCGTGTCAACAACATTTCTCTCTGGAGATGCCGATACATCTTCTCAGTACTGGAAACACTGGGTTGATCCAGATATTCCTGAAACAACAACTATCCATTCTTCAGATTCATTCTCAACTCAAACATTGCGGTTTATTATGATAAAACAAGTCCAAAGCACAGAAATAAAAACTGCTAATTTATACTTCCAGTATATTTAAAAGATGTTCTGACCTGCAGAGTGGTCAACACCACGGTGTACCAGTCCAGACTGTTGCGCAGCAGGCCCCTTTTCTCAGCAGCCAGGCAATGTTTAACAGCCTCATCAAGCCGACCATCTTGACAGAACAGCTGAACCATCTTCACATTCACATGAGCATCAGCTGGCCGTGCTGCCAGCTCAGCCTGGAGGAGGTCGAACAACTGGTTCCAGCCCTGCTGGCCCTGACGACTCAACAGAGACTCCTGAACAACGACAGGTGCACAAAAAGCTCAGTGTGGCTTCAGCTTTTTATTAGTACACACACAACTGGCTATGAAACAGACAGCTGTTGGTTAAGTACACAACAGAACAAACACTTCTCAGCTGACATGGAGAGTACAAAGAGAAGTTTTAATTCAGATGAAGGAGAAAGAAAATAAAAACCTTTAGGTTGTAGATTGCTGGGTGTCCAGGCATGAGTTTTGCAGCTTTCTCCACCCAAAACTCTGCTCTGCTGTCACATTCATGTTTCTTTACAAGTAACTCGGCTACCTTTAACACCAGGTCCTTCTGCACTGGGTTCAAGTCCACTGAGCGCTGCGCGAGTAGAGGTCAAGAACATTAAAGATCAATAAAAAACACCAATCAGAAAATGCTATCTAATAGAGTTCCCTCTACCTTGTAACATCCTACTGCTTTGCTGATGTCTCCATCTCGCTCATAGAGCTGTCCGAGGAATTTGTGTGCTTTGGGATCCCTTTCCTGTACTTTGAGATAATCTGATACATGCCTAGAAAGAGAATTAAACATGTCAACAAATGTTTTAAAGATGGAATCAGTGGAGATGTTCATCCTTACCTTTTTGCAAGCTCATATTCTTTTGCCTCAAAGTACAACTTGGCAAATAAAAACCCCTTAACTGGCTTCTGTAGGGGACAACAGAACAATAAAGCACATCACCGGTGATATTTCTGAATGAGCGTTCGACATGTTGAGGTAACAGTCAGCCAATAGCCGATATGTCCTGCTGATGTTTGGGGCCTCTTTTCATGAGTGATAGCTAGACATTGTTTTCATTATTTGCACGCAAAAATGTCACTAATGTCAGCAACATTTCTTAACCTAATCAGTTTTTAAACTCTGAATTTAACCAACACTCTGTTCAATGCTCAGCATCAAAATCAAGCATTTAGCCTAAATAAATCAGACAAATCAATAGACTGACCTGGTATTAAGTCTAAAACCGGTTAAAATGTCAGTTGTCAACGTTTTAGAACATGTTTTTCAGGAACATTTTCATTTAGATAAAATTTGTCTGCCCACGGATGTGCCCGTTGTAAAATCAGCTCTAAGAGGCCGATGTAGTGGAAACATGCTGAATATCAGCTCCTAGATCCCGACATCACCTCTTGGCCATTTTTAAAATTAAAAATAACAAGTTCGGTAAAGTCAGACTTTAATGAAATATAAGACATTGCTCAGTAGTTATGGGGAAATGATTTAATGAAACATTTCATTCACAGCAACATAATGTCTGATATCATTATGGAATAAAAGTGTAATCACTGAATCTGCTAGGGTCAGGTCTCTCCCAGTGCCACACGGCTCCTAAAGAAGACTTTCACTTATTTGTATGTGCGAATCCAGGTGGATGTATTTACGCGTCTCACCAAAATAACATGAGTGGAATAAAGCTGTCAGCGAGGAGGCTAACAGGCTGATGCCGTCTCCCAAAGCTAAACCGCGCATTTCCCGACCGAAACAAGCCGGGTAAGCTAGCAGAGCGCTACCAGCCGGGGAAAGCTAACGGCTTAAACCAAAGTCAGTTAGTGCAAAAACTATTTACACACCGTCTAACTAAGAACTACACTAATCGTCTAGTTACATCATGTCCCATTTTAGTTTTTACACCAGTTGAATGTCACATGTTAATCTGCTAATGGCAGCGGCATGCTAACAGATAGCTAGGGGGAACCATTTACCTCTTTGAGTGAAGGAGAGGAACTCTGTACAGAGAAAACGTAACGGTCCACTTCAGCCTTACTCCGCCGCATGGCCGCAGTAATCAAAGAAGTCTAAAATAGTCAAAGATACCGTATAAAACAATACGAGTTAACGAAATCCACAATATTTATTTCTCCTCCTACGTCACATTAACTCCCCACGATGGTAGTGCGCAGTCTCGAGTCGTTCCCGTCAAAAGGCAAAGGTCACGTGGGTCGATCTTTTAACCAATAAGGAACGAATATTCCGTTGACGCACGCTGACGCACAGAATTTTAAAACAGAGGGGAGACCATGGGGGAGACCACCTCCGCCTCGCTAATATGGGTATGTTAACACATTTTCAAGTTAATGTGTTGGTGTTGCAGTTTACTTATTGGTTTGCTGGGAACTAGTTACGGTGGTCCAATCTTATACACTTTTCAACACAGGTTGTTCAATAATATTTGAACTTTACTGTTGGTGTTCTTTGTTGTTGTCGTGCTTTCTTTATTTTCTCTAAATGCCAGGGGGTTACCAGATTTTTTTTTCTTTCAAAAAAGTCATTCTACTGTAAAGGATGCTAGTTTTTGGAAAACACAATGGGATAATACTATTTGGTTTTCACATGGGTCTGTACATTCTGCAGGAGTAATCCCAAGATTTAGCCCTTTTTGTATGAGGTTTTCAATGAAAGTATTGGAAGAGGTGTCCTTCCACCCACCTTGACTCAAGGTCTAACGATATTAATTCCTAAACCCAAAAAATATCCATTGCTCATTGATAATTGGCGCCCTATCTGTCTTCTCAATAATGATTATAAAATCCTTGCTGTCACTCTTGCTAAAAGGTTAAAATCAACTCTACACTCAATCATTGATGACACACTGTCAGGCTTTATGAAGAACAGACATATCACCAATAATATTAGGCTTGTTGTAGACCTCCTAAATTACCCTGAGCTTGTTCAAGACAACAGTTTCATTTTGTTTTTAGACTTTTACAAAGCCTTTGATACAGTTGAGCATAATTTCATTTTTCAGTCTCTTGACAAATTTGGTTTTGAAGAAGAAAATATCATTTCTATAGCGCCTCTCAAGATAAAAATCACGAGGCGCTTCACAAAAACAAAAACAAAAAATATAAAAATTGTAAAAATATAAAAAAGCATTTCGAAAATGTTTAAAATATATTTAAAATGAGCAAGAATAAGCTGTTGCGATTTAAAAGAAAAAATGTTAAGAAAGAGAGAGAGTGAATGGGAAAGAAGGAAATCAGTGGATCCTGAGGAAGGTGGAATAGGTGGGAGAGCAGAATAAAGAGAGAGTGGTGAAGAAGGTCATACAAAAGCCAGCTTGAACAAGTGAGTCTTCAGCTGCTTTTTAAAGGAGACCGCTGAGTCCACTGATCTCAGGCTCAGGGGGAGAGAGGTCCAAAGTCTGGGAGCCACAGCAGCAAATGATCTGTCACCTTTGGTCTTTAACCTGGTGCTGCACAACCAGTAGGCTTTGATCACTGGACCTCAGGGACCTGCTGGGGGTGTAGGGACTAAGAAGATCACCAATGTAAGATGGTGCTTGTCCATGTAAGGCCCTATAGACCAGAACCAGGATATTGAAATGAACCCTGGAGTTGACTGTCAGCCAGTGAAGCTGGAGGAGATGCCTCCAGCCTTTCTTTAAAGCTGCTATGCCTTTAAAGCTGCTGCCTTTCTTTAAAGCTGCTATTAAAACTTTGTATAAAAATTGTAATAGCTCCATCAAGTTGAAGGGTGGTACTTCTGCCAGATTTAATATTTGTAGAGGTATCTGTCAAGGATGCCCCATCTCCCCCTATTTATTTCTTTTAGTGAGTCAAATTCTGGCCTATCACATACATTCTAGTCCTCTTAAAGGTATAACAGTAGCTGGTAGAGGCTTAATACTAACACAACTGGCTGATGACACAACCTTATTTTTAAGAGATCACTCTCAAATTTCTGTGGCAATGTAATAAATACCTTTTCCAATGTATCCGGCCTGCATTTAAATATTAAAAAATGCGAACTCATGGCAATTAAAAATTGTTCTGAATGTGAATTTGAGAATATACCTGTCCAAAATGAAGTTACTTACCTAGGGGTAATTATCACAAAAAATCAACATGAAAGATGTTCAAGAAACTTTAATCCTTTAATTAAAAATACTCAGAAGAAGCTTAATCAATGGCTCATAAGAGACCTCTCTATAAGAGGTCGCATTTTGATTAGCAAAGCTGAGGGTATCTCCCGGCTGACTTATGCGGCCCTGGCTCTGGATCTTAATAATAAAGTGTGTAAGGAGATTGATCGGTTATTACTTGACTTTGTTTGCAAAAACAAGACCCACTTTCTTAAAACATCCTCCCTAATGAATGCGCTTGAAAATGGTGGTTTGAACTTGCTTCCCTTTTCTTTATTGAATAATACTTTTAAAATTAACTGGATTCGTCAGTTTTTCAAGTCTCCTACTTCTATCTGGCGTATAATACCCCATCACATTTTATCCAACTTGGTGGTTTAAAGTTTTTCTTGATTTGCAACTATAATGTCGAAAAGCTCCCCGTTACGTTATCAGCCTTTCATCACCAGGCCTTCCTCTCATGGACATTCAAGCACAAGCTCTCACCTCACCACTACTTCATCTGGAATAATAAGGACATTCTTTCTAAACACAAGTTTCTGTTTTTCAACTCATGGTTCCAGAATAACATACTTTTAGTAGACCAACTCTTTAATGCAGAACGTCAGTTACTTTCCTATGGTGAGTTTCTACAACAGTATAATATTCCTATTACGCCGGGCGAATACGCAAAGGTATTTGGAGCCATTTCTCCAGGAGTGTGTATGTTATTCAACCAGAGACCTAGATTAGATTATAGTCAGTTCTCTCCTGTTTTTTCTCCAGTTCTGTCCCCAATCGGTGAAGTATGTTTTAATTGCTCTCCTAATAATAAAAATAAAGCAATTAGAACTCTCTTTCTTAAAGACATGACATCTCTTCCATGTGCCGTATCATACTGGAATAGATTAGTGGATGAATTGGCATGGAGGAAGGTTTGGCTTCTACCCGATCAATTTTTGATCACTAACAAGGTTAAAGAAACTTCCTTTAAACTATTACATAGATTCTACCCCTCTAAATGTTATTTAAAAAAATTTAAATCAGACCTGGATGTATCTTGTACATTTTGTGAAGATCTTCCAGAAACAACAACTCATCTTTTTTGGCTGTGCCCTCATTCCAAACGGTTTTGGCAGTCTTTCTGTGACTTCATCTGCTGTAAATTCTCTGTCAATTTTAACATTTAATGGAAGCAGGTTTTGTTTGGCCTTCACCAAAATATTTGTCAGATTCAGATTTCAGATTTATTGGCCAAGTAAAATTACATTTACAAGGAATTTGGCTTCGGTAGATGTTCGCTCTCTAAAACAGACAACAACCACAATAAATGAGAATAAAAATACCTAAAAACACATAAGAACATGTATACCCACAGTCCGCACACATGTTCATTTACACACACACACACACACACACACACACACACACACACACACACACACACACACACACACACACACACACACACACACACACACATATCCATAAGCATACTGAATAAGTATAAAAAACTATAATAAAAAGACGGTAAAAGAATCTACAGATTTAGGAGAGAAATAGCTGAAGGAAAGAAACTGTTCTTGTGTCTGGTAGTTTTTGTGTACAGTGATCTATAGCGTCTGCCAGATGGGAGGAGATGGAAGAGAGTAGATGCAGGATGTGTGGCATCTTGGACAACATTCTCTGCCTTTTTCCTGGTCCTGCTGATGTACAGGTCCTGGACAGAGGGCAGTTGGGCACCAATGATTTTTCCTGCTGTTTTAATAATATGCTGTAGTCTGCATTTGTCCATTTTTGTGGCTGACCCAAACCAGACAGTGATGGATGAGCAAAGTATGGATTCGACTGCAGCAGTATAGAAGATGATCAGCAGCTCTTGTGGTAGGCAATACTTCCTTAGTTGCCGTAAGAAATACATCCTCTGCTGAGCCTTTTTGGCGATGGAGTTGATGTTTGTTTCCCACTTCAGATCCCTGGAAATGATAGTTCCCAAGAACTTGAATGAGTCCACCATTATCACTGGGCTGTTGGATATTGTGAGGGGGGACAGCACTGTGGGAAGCTTCCTAAAATCCACAACCATCTCCACAGTCTTAAGGGTGTTAAGCTCAAGATTGTGCTGACTACACCAGACCACCAGCCTCTCAACTTCTCGCTGATAAGCAGACTCATCACCATCCTGGATGAGCCCAATGACAGTGGTGTCATCTGCAAATTTCAGGATTTTAACAGCTGTGTCCTTAGAGGTGCAGTCATTGGTGTACAATGAAAAGAGCAGTGGAGAAAGGACGCACCCCTGTGGTGTACCGGTGCTGATCAACCTTGTGCCAGATGTAACATTGTTCAACCGCACATGCTGGCTCCTATTTGTCAGGAAGCTGGAAATCCACTGACACATAGCAGGGGAAACAGTGAGCTGAGAAAGCTTTGTGGTGAGGATTTCTGGTACAACGGTGTTAAAAGCAGAGCTAAAATCCACAAACAATATCCTTGCGTAGGTCCTCGGTTGATCAAGATGTTCCAGGATGAAGTGCAGCCCCATGTTAATTGCATCATCCACTGACCTGTTTGCCCTATAGGCAAACTGCAGGGGATCCAGCTGGTGGCCTGTGGTGCTTTTAAGATGGGACAGCACCAAGCGCTCAAAGGACTTCATGACTACTGATGTCAAAGCCACGGGTCTGTAGTCATTCAATTTGGTAGGGGAGGATTTCTTAGGTACTGGGATGATAGTTGAGCTTTTGAAGCATGATGGGACCTCACACAGCTCCAGCGATCTGTTGAATATCGTTGTGAAGACAGGTGCTAGTTGGACAGCACAGGTCCTGAGGCAGGAAGGAGTTACTCCATCTGGGCCTGGTGCCTTCCGTACGTTCTGTCTCCTAAAGATGTTGCAGACATCCTCTTCCTTCACAAGGAACGTAGCTTGTGATTTAGAAGAAAGAGGAGTAAGAGTTTCCAGGTGAGGGGTGGCGGCTGCAGCTATGCTGGAGTGGAGGAGGGGTGTGACTCTATTTTAATAACTCTATTAAATTTTTTATTAATCTGTTATTTTTTTGGCCAAATTTCATATCCATAAATATAAATTTCTTAAAAGCAAACCCAACTTTAACTGTTTCTTAGTGGAGGTCAAGCATTATATGGACTCTTATCTGGTTCTCACAAAACCAGAAGGCTGTAAAGACTACTCAAATATGTACCCGCTTTAAGATAATCTGATGCTGATTTTATACTATTTCTGTGTTGATGTTCTCTCTAGAGATATGCTACTTTAATCAGTATTTTTGTGTACATCCACCTTTTTTTATATCCCCTGGCACTTTGTTTTCATTTTTGTTCACATTTCACTTTTCTTATACGCTGTCAACTGTGACCTTGTAACCTCATTGTCACATTGTATATTCTATTTTTGTTAATAAAGGTTTATTAAAAAAACACCTCTGCCTCAGATGCATGGTGGAGCAACGGGCGAGCATGGCATGGAGGAGCACCTGGGACTAAGAAGTTGCTTTCAAAATGTTACATAATGTTTACCCAGCAAAAAGCACTCTTAAGAGTTCAACTCAAATATTTATTATTCATGCACCTCAGATCACTTAGAGACCATTTGTCACTACTCTAAAACTTTTTGGACAAATGTACATTTTATTGAACAAAAGTCTGGAAAAGCAGTGCAACTAACAGAAAAAGATGTTCGAGTCTGTTTTGAAGACAAAGACATGGACAAGAACATTACGTATTACATTCAGCTTCTCTTGGGAAAGTTCCATATTCATAAAGCAAGATGAACAGACTCCAAAGCAAACACAAACCACTTCAGCAATACATTGATATGAGACCTTGATATTCAAAAAGCGTGTAAAACTAACTGTTTTTGACAAACTGAACCTGATGAAATGATCTTGTATTTTTTTATTTCACTATTAGGTTTGTACTTGAATATGTAATTTGTTGTTGGTTTTTCTTTACCCCGGTATTCACCTATGTTCTGTGTGTATTTGGCATTAGGGATGTCCCGATTGCAGCCTTCAGTAATGACCGATACCGATATCAGTCCGATATGCTATCAGCACAAATCATACATAATATTACCTATTTCGTAGTGATTTTACTCAATCGGAGAACAAGAGCCAGCAACACTAAGTATGAAAAAAATGACAAATTTTTTTAACCATTGGTTGCAAAACTGTGAACCTTAACGGACTGCTTATATCAGACTTTTCATGCAGTCTGATATGATCCGACACAGTTTTTGAGCCAATATGGAATTACATCCGATATCGATATTGGAACGGGACATCCCTATTTGGCATATTTTGATATATATGTTCTTTCTTTGGAAACTAATAAAAAAGGAGTAACTGGGAGTATTTTTACAGTATGACACAAATAAAACTGTAATAATCCAGTGGGTGATCTTAACAAACGTTGATTATGTTTCATCTGGTAAGGACATCAGTTTTGTTGTCTATGCTGGAAGAAGAGATGCTGTAAACCAAAACCGAATGTTAACAGTGTCTATTTTTGTATTAAAGACCCTTGACTTAGTTTAAAAATCTTGGATGAAACCAAAGATTTAAATACGTTAAACTGATATTTCTTCATTGTCACTATATTTTTCAGTGCAACTAAATCCTGGTCTTGCTATTAAAACATTCTGGCATTTTAGGTTAAGATTATTTAAATGAGAAAAATTCAACTCATGCACACTGCAAGCTTTGAACAGTTTTTTATTCAGATAAGTGAACAGGACAGCACAGCACTTGGTACATTAAAATGCATTTTTCATTCAAGTCTCAACCATGCACTTTAGCGATTTATGAAGAAAATGTTTTCCAAAATACTGCCAGACAAAATACAGCATCAGAAGAGAATCCTTCCGTGCAACACATTGTTGAGCAAGTAAAAACATGAAGCTATGCCCTGAACCAACTGTAGAGCTGCAAAAGTTACTGCCTAGATACGATCAGTGCTTCTGCAGGAGAAATGATGTGGCTTCAGTGCTGAAATGTGAAACATAAACTTACACTTTGTGTTCATAAAACTGTGGAATGTGCTTTTTTTGTTATATTCTAATGCAAAAATAAGCTTCTAGTGATAAAATATAGAATAAATAAACAGGTTTGAGAATAAGAACAGCTGACCTCAAGTGAGTCTGAGCCTCGAGGAAGTTGGTACACTTCCTAAGAGGATCACTTTCTTTGGATTACAAACACTCTGATGCTTGACATTACTCCCACATGCGGTTCGCTGCACATGCGGTCGTGTTGTAACACACAGCGAAGTAACAGTTGCCGTGACAGTTGTTTTCTTCAGGGATGTTGCTTTAACAGAACTTGAATTTTCTTTTCATTTTACATGCAAATCTAAAATTTGTTGACCAAATCTTCGAAGATACAAACTAAATAAATAATATAACAAAGCATTAGGATACTGCTGGTGATAGTTGGCATGATAGCTGTTGCTGCTTTAACGAAACACACTTTAATTATACAAAGACACATAGGAAGAAATCTGGAAACATTCAGTCCAGTTTTACTATTTATTATACAAGATGGTTTTGGCTTTTCTTGATTTTACTCCTTTCTTATGAGTTAAGCAGGAGAAAATTCTTATTCATAACAAAAACGTGTCACCCAAAGCTGATATTTAGTTTTTAAAGATGGAAACACTGTCAGCCAGGCTGTGAAATAAGCATAAAATAAACAGCACAGCATTTACGCATTTAGTGCAGCTACTTGACCAACCAAGTCTGACTGTGGAGCCACCTGTCAGCCTCAGGAGCTCTTCAGCAAGAGAAACAGGTGAGGCGTTCCACCTAAATAACCAATTTAAATGCAAATTATTTTAAAAAATACTCGATGGTGGACAAGAGCACAGGGCTCCCGGTTTCATCTCCTTCAGCTGCACGCTCACTTCCGAGCAGCAGCTTCAGAGAGCTTCTTCAGCCTCTTCTTCAGCTCCAAGGGGAACTTCTCGTAGCATTTCTTACACACCGGCTTCATGTCAAACTCCACAAACTTGTTCCTGTGGAGGAAACATAACCAGTTGTAGATTGGAAATGAGACATCACTGAGTCACCAGTTTATTCACGGCTGCAATAAATCCAGTCACTCTAGGCCAGAAGCCAGGCCCCTCAACTCAACTCAGCCTTTTTTTTATAAAGCACCTTACAGTCATGAGCATGCCACCAAGGTGCTGTACAACAAAAGAGTAAAACAATAAAACACATAGTGCTACAGACATAATTAAAACCACAAATGAGAATTACAAAATATAAAACATTAACAATTGCTAACCCACAGAATTAAAAGCCAGATCATAAAAGTAGGTTTTCAGCCTCATTTTAAAAACTGCTACTGATGGAGAGTCCCTAATAGTTAGGGGCAGTGCGTTCCACAGTTTTGAACCCGCAACAGAGAACGCCCTGTCCCCTCTTAACTTTAACCTGGCCTTAGGAGCCACAAGCAGCAGCTGGTTCTCAGAGTGGAGTGACCGGGCCGGAGCATATGGCTGCAGCAACTCTCCCAAATAGGCTGGAGCCACACCGTTCAGCGCCTTAAACACCATTAAAAGAACTTAAAACGAATTCTAAAATCAACAGGTAACCAGTGGAGAGCAGCCAACATTGGTGTCACGTGTTGATGCTTCCTTTTGTTGTCCAAGAATCTTGCTGCAGCATTCTGGACAAGCTGCAGCCGGGTTACAGCACCCTTACTTACACCAAATAAAACATAATTGCAATAGTCGAGTCGTGAGGTAATAAAAGCATGAACTACAGTCTCAAGGTCACGTCTAGATAAAAATGGCTTTACTTTAGCCAAACGTCTTAAATGATAAAATGAAGAGGATACTACAGTACCCATATGAGCATCCCTGGTTTTGTTCTTTTTGTTGGCCAAGTTAGCAGAACAGCTTTAAACAAGAAAGCTGTTCAAATGAGTTTTTTTATTTCTGTCCTGAAAGACATGTATTTGAGTATTCCCAATAAATCCAATTTAGAAATTTGAATCCATTTTCCACACTAGATCTACGAGGTATCCATCTTCATCAATAAATGCGAGAAGAGCAGCAGATCTAAGAAAACACATTGTGCCGGTTATTTCAGCCCACCACAAGGATGCTGCAGCACTGATAGGTAAGGGGTGGAAAACATTCAACCACCATATTTAATCTGCAGAAACACAAATGGCCAGAAATACACCTGTTGTTACTCACAGGAAATGCAGACTAAAACTAGTTTTTCATCATCGCTTTGGTGCCCCCTCCAGCATAGCGACCCTTTGCGTCGAATACACAGCATACCCACTTTTTGCACCACTGCTGTACATCAATAATACGATTTTTAATTTCTTTGCAAATGCTGGGAAACACTCTAAATCCTTTCCCCTGCTGCTTAGTGACATTCCCTCTGAAAGTGAGACCGCTCGGCCAGGACTGGGCCAGGCGTCACCTCCAGAGGAAACTTGGGATTAGTTCAACTGAGCTGCCGGATGAGATTACGCTTTTCTCCTTAAACCAAACAAAGTGGGAAACACAAGAAACAAAGCTTTCTCTTCACCATGACATCAATCTGATTTTCCTGTTTGCATAGCAAGAGCCCGTCTAAATCCTGATTTCCATTTCCTGCTCCGAGGTGAAGATCTCATTAGCGTTTGGTCACTTCAGCGTGTTCGGATTTGTTACCTGCTGAATCTGAGGGACGGATGTGTTCCAGTAGGGTTGCAGCAGGATAAAATGTTGAACAAACGCACAAAAAGGCAGAGAAAAGAGTTGCAACTGACCAAAGGAAGGACAGTTGAAGCGAGGACAGAAGGGAAAACAGAAGGTCACAGACACATGGGGATCAGTGGTTTCTTCTTCTTCTCTCTTGAATCACGTTCACGCTTAACCAGCCGGCGCTTCATGTCTTCTGGGAGGCGCTCATAGCAGTGTTTACACACTGGCTTCAGGTCCACCTCCACAAACTTTTCCCTTACAAAGCAGGGAGGACAGGGTGATGGTGGGAGGTGAGAGAGGAGGAAGGATAGATGGAGAGGAGGTGCAGGAAACAGAAAGTTCATAATAAGAGAAAGTTAGGAAATTTGAAGAAAAACAAGATTGAACAACAAAGTTAACAGGAACAAAAAGTGTCAGAATCAGGAAACAGTAGCTGGTGAGGAGATGCGTGGCAGCGCAGGATGAAGATGATGCTTTACAGAGAATATTTAATGCAAAGAGGTGGACAGAAAAAGAGGATGTAGGTAATGAAACACCATTTGGAGGGTCTGATGAGTTCCAGGAGTAATAAATAATTCAAAAATGGAGACTAACAATATATTTTCACTATGACTATTTTATGAAAATAAATGATAAATTAGTACGATGCACGTTGGGTCTGTTCGTGTCGCTGTAACTTACTTCAGGGTGAGCTTGGTGTTACAGGTGGAGCAGGCAAAACAGTTAACACACCAAGCCTTGTTCAGGGCAGACACCACTAAAAATAACACAGAAGAACACATGAGAACAATAAAGAGGCTCTCTTTTTCTGAAAAAATCACAAGTACAAGACGCTACTATTCACTTTATCTTCATCTATCAATAACGAGGTTTCTCACCGTCTCCTTCGATGACACGATTGCAGTGGTAGCAAACATCTCCGAACAGCTGAGTGATGCGGGGAGAGAAACAGACTATTAGTAATGCAGGAGCACACCAGTCATGAGTCTTGATTGCATCAGACAAGCATGGATCATTTATACTGAAGTAACACACTTCACTGCAAATACATTAGATGTGGTACAGTCACATCCATGTAAATGATGCCTTTTAAAGACCAAGTCACCCCTACCAGAGTCTTACTCCATTTCCATTTCCTGTTTGAAAAATGCACCACAAGGTGGTGTTGCCTGGCAGAACGAGAGGGTGGAGCGGCTAACAAATACACACACAGGCTCACAGAGACATTGTGACGTCATAATGTACCAGCTAACGTCACAGGGTACCTCTTAGCCAATAACAACGGCAAATTTAAATTCAAATGTAGTGCAGAGTTTTTACCTGAAGAGGGCTTAACACTGACAGTTTCAGGCAGAATATTTAAATTTGAACTCAGATGCACTAAAGTGCCAAATTATCGACTACACATGTCTACGGCATGATTAGACACTCATTTATGAAGTTTCCAAGGAAAAAAAAGGTTGATTTGGGGGTGACTTGCTCTTTAAATGATCTGTCACATAAAAAATTACATTCGTACATGCAAGCCGGTTTGAACTCGGCAAATCACATAGGAACAGACCAAATATCTTATCCCACCAGGAATATTAGTCCTTCTAAATAGAAAATACCCCCTTTGAGAGTGTGTTACCTGGTTGTAATGTGTTTCGCAGTAGGCCAGGCCCTTTCGCTCGTAGTGACGGTGTCCCAAGAAGGGTTTCTCACATTTAGCACACACAAAATGCTGCAAGCAAACCAAAAGCCAAGCACACACTGTTAGCACAGCCGTCAGTCACTATCTCAACAAACACAATACCATTAAAGCCCGAGGACCTCTTCTGGCTTGGACAGATTCAAACCAGAGCACAACCAGATCAGATGTCCTAAAGCTGCCTCCATACAGAGACAGCAACAATCTGATGTCAGCATTCATTATTTTAGGGTGGGATCCGTGTATGGAGGCCGTGGACTGTAGTCAGGCAGGGAGACGAGCAGCAGCAACATTCAGGCGGATCTTTTATCTCCTCACCATATCAAAGTGTCTCTCACAATAAGCACGGCCGCCGCGCTCATAAAACGGGTGGCCCTGAAAGGGACGCTCACACACGGTGCACACATGATGCTGCGAGTGGAGGGGGAGACAGGAAAACTGGCTTTAAAGGGTAAAAAACGTAAATAAAGGCGACGAAACAACATGAAAAAACTGAACGAACCTGGAGAGATGAAGCCATGAAAAGTACAAGTTAACAGAAATAGCATCTTGTTTTAAAATGATAAAATGTTAGAAATAAAATGAGTAACAACTAAAACAAAGGGATTGATATAATCTATTGTAAAATGTTGTGAGTACCACAGGAACAACAACAGTAAAAAATAATGTGGAAAAGATTCAGTGCTTCACTTAAAATGGAAATAAATCTAGAACATGCAAGAAAACTGGAAAAACAAAGAAATACTGTTGTCTTAAATCGCATTTCTGACATGAACTTGGTACACTCCAAACTTGTAGGGCTAAATGTTTAAATGAGCTCTGCTTAGCAGCAAATATACAGGAATAAAACACACCTCAACGTGCCACTGCTTGCCCATGGCATTGACCACACGGCCCTCAATCGGTCTCCTGCAGGCCCCGCAGATAGGGACGCCCATCTTGTCGTGGCAGGGCAGACAGTAGAGCTCCCCCTTCAGCTCCCTGGCATCAGCTGTCAGCTCCTTTCTGCAGGTGTAATTTACGCAGGTAACACTGCTGCAAACTTCGGATTTAATCACAAATAAATCTGCTGTCACAATTTTAGTCAGCTGATGCTTAACCAACAGTTACATATTTATCCACAAGGGGGAACTAGTGGGCTTTAGGTGAAGTTGCAGCATTCAGCATTTGCTTGTTTTGTGTTATGTGTGCTAGTTTAGCAAGCGTGTGTGTGTGTGTGTGTTTACCCGCAGTTGGTGCAGTTGAAGTGGTCAGGGTGATAGGGATCGTTCTTGAACAGCAGAGGCCGTTCCTCTATGATGGCGTGACACTTCTGACAGATGTACTTCCCCAGCCCCCGAGCTTTCTCCCTATTGTGACAAGGGCGACACAAGTGCCTAATAGGAGGAACACAAGAGAGACAAACCAGTAGGGGTTTAAACTTGCTGCATGGATATTCTGTGACATAATCTGTTTGTATGAGGGTATTAAAAAAAGAAGTCCTTAGGACTACAGTAAATCCTAAAGATTTTCTGCACAAAAACAGAAAAATAAACTTTAATCATATCTTTAAATGATAAGATGAATCACAATCTAGTCCTGAGATGACACAACACAATCAGCTGACGTCATTGGAAAAGTATCTGCAGTAAAACGGTAAATACACCACAAACCGTCCAGCGTTTTTAACAAATCCAACATCTGCGAGCACAGCCTGGCACAGATCACAGCAGAAACAGTCTGGGTGCCAACTGTTGTTCATTGCCTTGATCACACGGCCAATGATGAACTCACCTGGAGGAACACATATTTACACCATGAGAAAACAAATCAGGGAAATCTTATGGTTTATTTGTCAGAAGCATCTGTTTTAATCCTCACGTAAACCAAACAGATGAACTCACCGCACTGGTGGCAGCAAGGTGCGAAAAGCATCTGGAAGTCGTGTTCACAGTACTTCCTGCCTTCAAACTGCAAGAACAACAGAGTAAAGATACAGGGAACATATAGGGATCAAACTACACACAGGCCTTTGGGGGCGCTCGGAACCAGTAAGAGCAGGGGGAGGGGGGAGCTGATTTTTGACTGATTAATGGTTGAAAAAGGTGCCAGGTGAAGTCCAGGTAACAGAGTCCAAATGAAAAATGTAACATAAATTGAAATTGGATCATTTTTTGGGCTCCCCTTTGGTGTCATTTCAGGACTTTTGGGGGAACCAGGCTCCCCTTAACTTCCCCATAATTTGAACCCTGTACTTAGAACATCAACAACTTATTACCTGTGCTGCTTTTGAGGGTGAATCTGAAAGAATTTAACATAAACCTGAAGAGCACCATTATATTTGAGATGTTTAAAAGCAGGTTCTCTGTTTTGATTTCAGTTGTGAGGTCATCTTTTTTACATCAACGTCTCAAGCGGCTTTAGGGGGAAATGTCAAATTAGCTTAATTTTTAACTCTGCAGGATTGTAATGTAGCTTTAAAAGGTTAAGCCTCTCCCAACCTTCTTGGATCATAATGAAGCACATGACTGTATTTATAGCAACATGACTTGTCTTTGGTGTTTATTGATCAGAACTAGAATCCCTTCGATGAGCATTAAGAGCCTCAGTTTCTCTGAGAAACATCTCATTTTGCTTCAAGGTCAGAAAAAGGACGGTTCTCGAAAGAGTTTCTGATTATTCAATACTGAATCAATGTGCATTTTTACGAAATGTCGGCCCTCCCCATTGGGAGAGCAGTGGGGGTGGGGGGTATTGCCGCCCGCGGACTCATCTCTAGGCCAAATGTGAGATTTAATATGGACTGGGACTGTTAAATTACAAGCAGGGCCAGACCGCTGTGACTGGGAGCCCTGGCCTTCCAGATCAGCTCATTCTCCACGGGCGGAGATCAGCGGGACATTAGCTACATGCTAACATGGTAAAACAACTTCTACGTCATCGCTCTACTGCAGTTTTCTTGCTAAAAATGCCTGGAAAATTCTGTTAGCTTCGGGTTACCATGTAGCTAATGTTCTGCAGATCACCAACTGTGGAGTAGTGTCGGCCCAAGCTGGGCAAGCAGCCGACTTGGCTAAGCGTCCCACCGGGACGGTGCCAGAATGCCAGATAGGCCAGTCCACCCCTGCCTACAGAACAAAGAGCTCACTTAAAGAGCTGATCTGGAGATATCCAAAACACAAGAGACCAAGAGTTTTCCTAAACTCCTAGAGACCAAGAGAGGGGGCGAGACAACACTGACACAAACAATGGACCGACAAAACATTGAGACGCAGACAGGGTTACATACACAGGGGCTGGGTGATTAGGGAATTGTGCACAGGTGAGACCAATAAACAGAGCAGGAGCACAACGGAGCGGGGGAGGAAACAGACCTAAAAATGGGGAAGGGTGCAAAATGAACTAGAGGGAGAAAACAGACTAGATAAAACACTTAACAGAAGACTAATGAAAATAGGTGAAAAGGGAAAATGTGAGGGAAACCTAGAGAGCCTGGAGGGGATCTGTCAGGATTTTCTAATCCTAGAGTTTCACCGTCTGTTTTCTATCAGAAGCTACTGCAGGAGATAGGTGTAGGAGACTATTTTCATGCTCAGCCTGCATGAAGAACATCCTTTAAAGGATGCACATTTCAAGCAACTTTTCAGAGATCTTTCTACTAAAAAAAAGCCTATCGTTGATTTCTTTAAGCTGACCAAACATTCTGTTTTATCCACAAAGCGTTTATTACACACTATGCATGATGCTGAGCCATTTCTACAGCTTTTAATAGCATTTATTAAAATGTTACCTCGTAAAAGAGTCCCTCTGGGAACTGCTGGAAGCACTGAGCACAGACGAAGCACTGCTCATGATAAAGCTCTCCATTGCTGTTCACTATCTTTTCTGCTGGGGCGAAGCCACTCTTGCAGCGCTCACAGATGGCATTGGCCAGAGCATTGGCCATGTTGCTGGGGAGAAAAACGACAGAACAAAGGTTGGAATCATTCATGTTGAGGTGTTGTCTGGTATTTTTACAGAAGACTGGATTAGAACGCTATCAAAATGTTTAGTTTTAAGGTTTGTTAGCAACATTCTCAGCTGTGTTCAGGCTTCTTTCAGTCAGAAATATGAACGATACAAATTCACGGGGTTTGTTTTTAATATTCCCTCATAATTACTATTCAACAACGTGGATCACGTCAGACCACTCAAAACATCATTTTAGAACCTGCTGCCACTTTTCCCATGTTAGGAGAACAGCTGGAAAACTGGCTTTGTAAAAGGAGGCAGTACCAAGGGCAAAAGTGATGCACGGGCTTATCAGATAGGAAACAAGCTTGTTTCCAGATTTGTTTTGGCTCCTTTTGTCGGGGTGCATGGATTCGTGAGGCAGTAAAGCTTCATGTTGTCTTTCGTGACAAGACTGAAGTTCTTTGTAATCTGCTGAAATGATGTGAGGCTGCACAAACATTGTTTGATATGACTTAAAACAAAAATCCAGAGGAGGCTTGAAGCAGTGACCTGGGGTCTCATTTATAAAACATTGCATAGAATCCTTACTAAAACCGTACTTATGCTCAGCAAAAAAAGTACTTACGCCAAGTTGGCCTATAAAACATGGAGTACGCACAGCTTCACGTAAACTCAGCTTTATAAATCAGAAACTATCTAGGAATGTGCTCAGGTGTTTTTTGATCACATCCTGCCCTCAACACGCCCACTTTCTGCCATAAATGGTCAATTCACAGTGCCTTGTATCCTTCTCAGCAGCAGCACTGCAGGTGTTCTCCATGTCCAAAATGTGCGTAAGCCAGGTCCTTAGTCAACTTAAAGTTACGCACATTTTTCCGCTACATTTTCTTTTATAAATCCCAAAGTTTACGTGGAAAGATGCTTACGCAGTTTTCCGACCCCGTCTTGTGCATAAGCAAGCTTTATAAATGAGGACCCTGGACTTTTTCCCTTTTGAGGAACGGTGTAGGATTTTTTAGAAATCCATAAAAGTGATAGTGTTACCCTGTTCTGGGATATAATCTAGGCAATACTTTAATTTTGGCCTAAGCCCTCCCCATGTGCTGTAGAGCCCCACGCAATTTGAACTGAGCACCACTCAGCATCAGTCAACAGGATAGACATCTGATTATATAAGGTTGCAATCGAAGAGTGTGCAAGCGCTTGCAGACTTTCCCAGTCAGATGCAGAGTTGGCGATTTTTCTTATGACCAAGTAAGTCTTTATTATGAATAAACAACTCAAACATGAGAATAATATTATGAAACAATGTTTTAGTTCTGTTGGCCAGCTAGAGGTTCACAAACAAGAGGCATTGCTTCCAGCTGTAATCATGGAAGTAGGGAGATGGGTTTAAGGTGGAGTATATTTTTCCACCTCTAGATGGTGTCCAGAAGTCCAGCCATGCTGCATTAGAGCCTCAGCGTGCCAGACTAGTCTTCAGCCTGTTTTCTATCAGAAGCTAATGCAGGAGGTAGGTGTAGGAGACTATTTCATGTTCAGCCTGCATGAAAAACATCCTTTAAAGGATGCACATTTAAAGCAACGGAGGAGGGGTGCTGCGGAACAGACACTGTGCGACTTTTTCACTTTTTTGAGCCGATTTTCCACTCGTGCGAGAATCCACGAGATCGGGGCGAGTTTTGAGCTGAGCGTCATGTAGTGTACAGGGGGTTACGAGAGGCGATTAACACCACATGACCAGCTACCGATCAGCAATCGGGAGCTCGCACGGACTTCTGGCGTGTTTAATATTTTGCTTGTCCCTCGTGAGGGTATCGCACTGTTGAAGCGGCGCTGAGAGATTGTCAAGAAAGCGTGATTCTCGTGTTCATGTCAAATTAAACTGATCACAAAACACAGATTTACTTTCTTTATTTCGTTTTCCTCATCCAACCCACATAAATCCCTGTGTGTCCTCCTGCAGCACTCCCGAAGGACAACAGGCAAAACAAGACAAAAAGTCTGACGTGTTGAGTAAAAACTGCTATTTTTAGCATATTTTAGGGCTGATGTGTTGCTACCAGACGTACAGTGTGAGCAGTCAGGTCGCATCCGAGAACTGGGTCGTACAGTGTGAGCACGTGACTCGTGAGATCTGCCCTGCGAGGAAGTCGTACAGTTTGAGCTGAAGCGGAGAGCTACGAGTGAAAAAGTCACACAGTGTCCGCCCAGCTTTACGAATTGCTAATCACAGCCATTTGGTGTGCGGGCTGTTACTGCGACTGAGCGAAAAAACAGACCTGCTTCAGAATTTTGCTTTTCTTTGAGTCAAGAAAAGTCCTCCTTCGACCGTGGATGGCGGACTTCCCCGTTGACTGACATCCGTACGTTGTTGGTTATCCAATAGCACGTGGAGACTGTTAGTCTTGATTAATCACATTTTAATCATTCAAGACAATTTGTGCACGAGCAAGTTATTGAGGCACAGATGATCAACCCACACTTTAATGAGTGCACCTCTGTAACCACAAGGTCTGTTTCATTACTTAAGTCTCATTATTAAGGTAACTATTGTGGGATTTGTTATGTGTAAATATTAGTATATGTGTTATTGATGAAGGGTAAATGGTGTAAATGTTGTGTACTGAACTGAACACTAGGTAGCAGCAGAGCACTGCTAATATATATAGAGAGAGAGGTGTAGTGTAGTGTTCAGGGGAAGTTCTGCTGAGGGTTGTGCTTGTTTCTCCTGCTGTAATAAACTTCATATGGATGAAGTTACTGTCTGCATTCTACTAACTACAAAACCTAACGATAAAAATGTTGATTTTTTCTTCCTTTTCTTCATGAAGAGCGATTTGTCAAGACAAGACAGCTTTATTTATAGAACAGATTTCCTACACTGTCAACTCAGTGTGCTTTACAGCAGTACAAGCAGACAAAAATAATACAAAAACGAACAATGGAATTACATATGTAACCCACTCTAGGCCAGGCAATGAATATTAGGTCTGTCCTCAGAGCCAAAGTGCATGAATAAAACGCAATCAGACTTTACTTTCCAGAATGAACGTATTTACTAACAAAAAAAGGATATAATAATAATCATGTAAATCAGGGGTGTCAAACTCAAATTCACACGGGGCCGAAATGAAACTCTGGGACGGAGTCGAGGGCCAAACTTAATATTTTTTGAAAAAGTGACGGCAAATTTGCACATTTTCTTTATCAACATATATGCAATTTTGAACCTTTAAATTTGGAAACAAACTTATTTCTGCATTAACACTGAATGTGGAATAACAAAATTACACACGAGCAAGTCAGTTTTAAATAAAAGGCATCAGTGGTATTCATTACTTGTGGTATAATCAGCATTTTTAAAATCTATTCAGGATTTATGTTTTCTTGTTTATTCATTTTTCTTATTTTTATTCTCCTTTTTTTCTTCTGTAATAAGTGTCATCGCTGCTGTGACGTCTAGCTTTCCCCACTGAGGAACAATAAAGGGATTTTCTATTCTATTCATCTATCTGCAGCCTTTCCACTTCCTGTTTACTGTAGGTTAAATCTTTTCTCACGGGCCAACAACAAAATACAAATATCATTTTATCTTAAATGAAAATGCGATATCTCACCTGTTAACTTTCATGTTTTGGAGCAGAAAACGAGCATAAAACCAACATATTTAAAGCTCAGTTTGCTCCACTGGTTTACTGTGATGCTCACCTGTTCCAGCCAGATACCTGCATCATGGAGTTGATCTGAGCTGAGGAGGAGACTCCTGTTGTTTTGTTCATCTTCATCATAATAATGACAACATTGATCGTTTGTAGGTTCAATTTCCGATAATCTATGCACAACCACACCCCTCCATCTTTCTTGCGCACGACCACAATTGGGGAAGCAAAAGGTGATTCAGACTTTTATGACTTCAGTTTCCAACAGCTCCTGAAGATGCTTTCTCACGATATCCACATCCTGTGGGTGAACTGGCATGGGCCTCTGCTTTAATGGCTAAGGATCAGACAGCTTTATACGATGTTTTACTTTATCTGTCCATCCAAAATCTAAGTCATGCTTAGAAAAGACTTCAGGAATGTTGTTAAGTTGATCAACTATGCGCTTCTTCCAAGACGGGTGTAAAGGAGAATCCCCCAAATCATATTGCAGCTGCAAAAGGGTGTTGGCTGATTGAACATGAGAAACGCTTTGTTCCAAGGAGTGAACTGTCTGAAAAGCACTCACATCAGCGATAACTGTTTTTGCAGGGATGGTAATAGCATGATCAGACTCATTAGTGATGAGGACTGGCAGACAGCATGGTGTCACGCAGTCTCCCTCACAACCATCGACCTCCTCAAGGGAGGAACCGCAGAGCCGCTCAGACCATCCGAACTCCATTACCCAACATCCCCAGCGCCGGTCTTCCGGTTCACGTCACCCGCCAAGTCTACTTAAGGAAGTGCCACACAACGCCGAATCACTTAGTCATCGTTCTCACCGAACCAAACTCAGAGTCCAGACTAGGGCCTGCACGACTTTATTTTTTTAAAAGTCGACAGTCAAGTAATGAAAGTCGAGTCGACTTCGACTAGTCGTTGATGACGTCATACGCCGGAAGCGGCGGCGGGGCGGGGGGGGGTCGGTCGGTAGGTTCGCTGGAGTTTTTGACAATTAAAATTGCGCCCACATTTGCTAAGTTAACACATCTCTTTTAACAACAGTAGTTTCTGCATCCTACTTCAGTCCTCTCCCCCCTCCCCCTGCGCAGCGGCCGCAAACTCACTGATGCGCCTGCAGCCTCTCGGAGTTCCTGCTGCTCTAAACATTAAAATAATTATTTCATTTTCTGTTCCTCACTTCTGATTACCTTCAGTGGTGTCTGTTTGTTGCAACCACCAGGTACAAAAACTAACTTGTTTTTATTTGACTATTTTTCTGTCCTGTCTGTTTATTATCTTCCTGCATCTCCTCTCAATCCCTAAACAAAAACTGCTACCTGGGTTCAAAT